CACATAGCGATGTTCGGGACCATGCTTCGCATAGCGATGACAGTTTGGGTCCCCCTGTTTCATTTAGTGATGTCCGTTTTCAGACATGAACTCTACAATAAGAAAGATCCTTTTTAAGGAGAAAGGCAAGATAGAATTATTTTAAATAAATACAATAATAAATAAAGGATCTGTTTGGGGTGTTCCTTCACCTTAGGGGTTGCAGTCGTTCTCAATCAAAGAAATACTACCAAGGCAGTCTATCTTTGCATATTTGCTTGAAAATGGTGTACATGCCAATTCATACATTTCTTTCAATATCCACCAAATGCTACCTTTGGGGTAATATGTCTATTTATAGTATGATCAAAAGAAGAGCCCCACTGGATCAGTCTGAAAAGTCATCTAGTCCAGGATTCTGTTCCCATAGCCCCCAACCAGATGTAAGTCTATTTCCCTGCTTGCATTCCCAAACAATTCACTGGGACTTAAAGGCATCTTACCTCTGTTCCTGAACACTGTGTGCAATATACCTCAAGCCCTCCGAGAGTTTGTCTCATCTCCCTTTAGAGCCACCTAAGCTAACAACTTTCACCACATCCTGAGGAAGTGAGTTCCACAGTTTAATTATGCACTATGTACATCCTGAGCATCTCTTGGAGGTTGATTCTCACTGATTACAGGTTCTTGTATTTCTTGGGGGGAGGGAGCTGTACCCATTCCACTTTTGCTACATATGTACATTTTACACATTTTCCTTATTCCCCTCCTCATTATTCTTTTCCTTTTTAACTGTGCTCAAGATTTCTAGTAAAGACAACTGAACGATAAGCAGGACTGAACACCATTTCCTTTTTTGGGGGGTTTTATATCCAGTGTTCCTCTTATTTTTAATTTCTGTTTGGCTATTTTTCTTTTTGTTTCAGTTAATGACTCCTATTTGCTAACCTTAGGAGTCCCCAAAGTAGCAACTTTCCTATACAGAGAATTAAAACTTCAAAAAAAAGTTACTCTTTGGTAGTGCAACTTCAGCCAGCACACCCCTTCAGAAAGTTCCTTTTCCAAGCTTTGTAGAAAACTTGCATCAGCAAGGCAACATTAACTAATTCCCCTTTAATCAGTGGACTGTCCTAATGAGAACAGAGTTCCTCCTATATTTTTGAAATTCTCAGCCCTCTACTTTGATGAGAAACGCTGAGATTATAATCGAGACTACAGTGGGGCAAACTCCACGGGCAGGTTCATAAAAGGGAAACGCAGACAATTGTCTTCCAGATGGTTCAAATCATTTACGAAATGAAGCCTCTAGGAATAAAATTCAGACATTGGAAGCCTTTAAAATGTGAAAATAAAAAACAGATTTGCTGTATTTCTTTCCTCCCCCTTCCCCTTTCTCGTGGAGGGAGCAGAACTGGTTAGCAGATGCTCTCTTACTGGTGCCGAATACTAGATTATTAGGTCCCCTTCTCCCTTTTATGCAGAACAGCCTATGGGTGGTGTCATTTCTTAATAACTGATGACATAAATCATAAGGATTAAAATATCAGTTCTGTCCCCTGTAGGGATACGCATCACCGTGCCCTAGTGTGACATGCCAGTTTGAAGATTACCAGTTCATTGAACAGGGAGAGCAAGTGAATTAAACCCTTGCCAGAGATGAGCACCCAGTGCTCCTTCACTGACAGCCAAGTTTTATGGAGAAAAAGAATTAGATCACATTGGGTAGGCTCGGCCAATTTCTTTTGCAAGGAAGAGGCGAGAAAAGAAACCACTTGGGCCTAAAATCAGTGAAGGGATAGCAGACTTCTGAATCACACCATTGCACAGACGGTTGTGTAACTGTGCAAGCTGTAGCACAGAGGTGAGCAAAGTGTAGCTCTAGAATGGCATGTGCTCCCTATAATATTTTTGAGCCTCCTGGCCTTATCAGACCTCCCTGGAAGAAGAAAAACTCTCAATTGTGGCTCTTGGACTTTTTTTGGAATCATTTCAAATGGAGTGCAGCCCCATAACACAGAGACACTGTTGCCTACAGGTGGGGACATAAATCCTTACCTGTCTTATCGTTCCTCCAGAGGATAACAAACTGCAATATTCTTAATCCTCTTGCAATGATTCCAGCCCCCCTGGTACTCTCAACAAAGCTCTTAACATTGATGAAAAAACATGAGATTATCAAACTGTGCTCAAAACTGCACAATTCATACATCTACATGGATTATATGAACTGCGCGAGTTTTCCAAATCTGGAGTGATGGCGCCCTTGTTTAAGAAGCTGAAGCACTGAGTGAGTTGTTTTCATCTTTCTTAACAATCAGTCAGCCCTCCTGTACTTTGTGTGTATGTGTCCTTTGCTTCTCAAAGGATGAGGACACAAGAAACAATATGTGTAAATTACAGTGCTTGGAGGGGGGGAGGATCCCTGCCCTCATCTTATTCTAGGATATTGGTGAATCGCACAAGGATTTAAAATTCCTCCTTAAGGAATTTTGCCATGTGAAGTGAATGTGATGTGAATTAGGATGTGAATTAGGTGATGTGAATTAGGAAAAGTGATGTGAATTAGGGGCTCTTTGGCCGTTGCCTGAGTAAAAAAGAAATCTTTGTACTTCCTTGAATCAGCGATCAGGTTTGTTTTAAAAAATGAACAAAGTGGCTTCTTTCCCAAGTAAGTGATTTGCAAATTCCACTATTAATTGTGGGTTTGAATAACTTCACCAAGAACACCAAACCTGCTCAAAAATCAAGGTATCTATATCTGATAGTCATCAATGTGAAAGGTTAAAATGGACAACAGCATCATGACAGGGAACTTGGGAAATTTATCTCAAAGGCTTTCATGGGTGGAATCTGATGGTTGTTGTGGGTTTTTCGGGCTCTTTGGCCGTGTTCTGAACGTTCTAAACAACCTTAGGAACATGGCCAAAGAGCCCGAAAATCCCCCACAACAACCATTGAACTTGGGAAAGTTTGGATTAAAACTCCTAGGGTGTCCCAGCCAGTATGGCCAACAGTTATAATGGCTGGATAATCAAACTTGGGAAAGTTTGGATTAAAACTCCTAGTATGGCCAACAGTTATAATGGCTGGATAATTCTAGGAGTTGTGGCATATATATTTTAAAAATCACAGTTTTTAAAAGCAGTCCAACGACTTAAAAATCACAGTTTTTAAAAGCAGTGCAACGACTATAGTGTTGTTAGCATCCTTATGTTCTTTATAGTGTTCAACATTATTTCTATTTGTTGAAGTTGTTGGGACTCCCAGTGATGATTCTCCCTTGTATAGCAACTGGGAATATCACAGATTCAACAAGGTGCTGCTCTAGTTTATAGAGTCATGATGTGAGGTTCTGTCAATGATTTTTTTTAAATGAGCTTATGGGATGCAGTGGTGTTTTCCTAAAAATTTAAAGTTCTTTTCAAAACGTGCAGGGGGAAAAGTGATTTTAAAGTACTTTAAAAGTGAAAGCAAAACATGAGTACGGTGTAATTTTCATTGTTTGCAAAATAAGTCCGCCACTTACCAAAACAACCAGCTTGTTTTGGAACAAAGCTACTGGTAAGATAATAACACAGAAGTAACTCATTCAGTTTTGTACCAGTTTTCATGAGAAACGATGTGAAACAGAGAAACGAGGAAAAAAGCAAAATGCAGTTTAAAATGCAGCTAATGTTGTGCTTTACCTATAATGTTAATTAATAAAGAGATACCACAAAATATATGTGAATAACTGTGTTAGCCAAATGAGACGAGCAATATATTGTACGGTAGAAGTTTTTGCAGAATATTATAAAAGGAAAAAGGATGAATGTTATTTTAAGCGGTTTGCTTGATGATAAGCAAGTAGAGAAGAAAAAGAAATGTATCATTTGTTTTATAAGGTTTTATCGTCATTATTAGGCCCAAGTAAATGTATAGACCTGTCCCCACACTTACAAAAATGCAGATGTTGAGAGGTGTCTGAATAAACGAAGGACTATTTCACTGAAATCAGCGTGCATAAGTATGAGTGTAGGTGCTGATGATTTCTCTGTGAAATTACATGTGCTTAAGCAGATATTTTGAGGGACGTGGTGGCGCTGTGGGCTAAACCGCAGAAGCCTGTGCTGCAGGGTCAGAAGACCAAGCAGTCGTAAGATCGAATCCACGCGACGGAGTGAGTGCCCGTCACTTGTCCCAGCTCCCGCCAACCTAGCGGATCGAAAGCATACAAATACAAGTTGATAAATAGGGACCACCTCGGTGGGAAGGTAACAGCGTTCCGTGTCTAAGTTGCACTGGCCATGTGACCACGGAAGATTGTCTTCGGACAAACGCTGGCTCTATGGCTTGGAAATGGGGATGAGCACCACCCCCTAGAGTCTAACATGACTGGACAAAAATTGTCAAGGGGAACTTTTACTTTACCTAAGCAGATATTTTATTAATAGTTAGATATTGATGTGCATTGACATCTACTAAGCCCTTTGAAGCTGTTCTTGTGCTTTGAAATAAGGTTATCATTCACAAATTTTCTACACCTAATCCAGTATAGAAGAGTCAATGAATGTCTGGGATTATTTTTAAATTATGGGTAATCATGACTGTGGTAACCAAACTTTTGCTTGATGGATGTGATTTTGTCCTTCTCCAGTTGCATTCTTTCCCCTTTTTCCAATCAGTAGTTTAGATGGTTGAGTTTTGATAGTGTTTTGTGCTTTCTGCTGCTTCCTCTCTGAGTAGGTAGGATATGGTCTTATTGTGGTGCTTAAGTCCTGACTCTTGCCCAGGGAATCCTGGTTGATGAAACAAGGCCTGGTGGTCACCTTCCACATAAGTTAATGCAACAAATTGGTGACCCACTCTATCATCTTCTATAGCTGCGTCTGAGCACCAATTACCTGGGTGAATCTATTTATAACTCTTTTTTTTACTTTTCTTTATATTTATCTCTTTAGTCAGGTTTGATAAGGACACAAGAGAATGACTTCCTTATATCTCCATTACCTCAACACCTAGCGCAGGAACACCACTACACGCCCGCTGCCGGACACCACCCGCACGTATTGTACAAACGAACAGCCGAAGAGAAAGTTCACCGGTACAGAGTAGATACAAACCCCCATCATGTTCCCCTTGGCCATCACAGAAATCATGCTGCCCACGAGTATCACGCTCAAGCCCATGATTACCACCATGGAAGGTTTCAAAAGCAACATTTTTGTGGACGTCGCAAGAAATGTATGTAAGGAAACTTTCTCTCTCTTTTTGACATAGAAATTCTTAGAGTACGGGATGCTTATTTTATTTTTTCTGCAGTGATTTGCCGCCATGGTTTTGATGATGGCTGTAGGTTGTCAACTTCCCAGATAAAAAGGACCATCAGTATTCTTTTCTTTCAATCCCAGTGTAGCAGCATTGGAAGACATGGGGAAACATATAAGGAGTTAGAGATACACGACAGTGAGGTCTTTTCTGTTCACTTGAACGGTGGTGATAAGAGTCTGTAGTTCTACTGTTTTTATGGAGGTATTCCATACATTAGAGTGATTCAGAAAGCTTCTGATGATTTAGAGATGCATGTGTGCTTAAGAACTACACACAGTTTGGAGCAGGTGGGCTTCACAAAAACCAGATCGTGTTCCCACTTTATTGATCAAGAAAGGGTGGGGTCAAGTTCACATATTTATTTTTGGAATTATATTGCCAAGCTCTGAAAAGCCATCTCAGATCTCACTGGTGGACATCCCTTGTAAGCATGTTAAAAACAGTGCGGAGTAATTGCTTTGATTTACAGTGTGGGGATGGTCACAGTGGAGAGTGGTTTTCAGCACTTTCTACATCAATGGTTCCCAAACATGGGTCCCCAGATGTTCATGGACTACAACTCCCATCTCCCTGGTCAGCACAGATGGTGGTGAAGGCTTGGGAATTTTAGTCCAGGAACATCTAGGGGCCGAGGTTGGGAACCACTGTCACCCTTCTTAGGAATACTACAAGATCCTAACACTGTCCATGTTTTCACTTTTGCAGAAATGTAACCATGGTTGAAGTCACAGTGGGTGGCTCCACACTCCACATCCACATACATAAGGCTCCAGCTGGTTTAAGAGCCTGTGTGCCCAACTCCCACTGAGTATAGCAATCTTACACATGCTTTGGTTTATGTGCACACAAGCTTTGGGCCCACAGGGCACTTAAGTTTACAGAGAAGAGAGATAGACCACTATCATGCCAGCTATGGAATCATTTATCCTTGAAAGATTCTATGACTAGTATTGCAGTGCTTGTCTAAGGAGAGACAATTCACTCACTTCTTACCTTCACGAAAACCAAACTTGAATTGTTTTGAAAACTTGAAATGAGTTTCATTTTCTATTGAAATGAGGTGTAGAACTTCTCCATTGAAGGAGAATCTACTGGTTTTGGAGATAGTCTGTCCTTACCACCAGAAGAATAATGTTAACCCCAATATTTGGTCAGAATCGACTTCCTTGTAATTTGAACCCATTCATTCTGGCTGTGCCCTCTGGAACAGTAGAAAACAAGATTGTGAAAGCCCTTGAGGTACTTGAAAATAGCTGTCCTGCCACCTCTCCATCTTCATCTCCCAAGGAAAACATGTCCAGCTTGCACATCCATTCTCCAATGCATTTGATTTCTAGACCTTTTACTATTTTGTGCATCCTCTTTGTGACAGATTCCAGATTGTTGATATTCTTCTTAAAACTATGATGCACAGAAGTAGGCAGATTACACTAGGTGAAGCTCAACCAAAGCAGAATAGAGTGTGACAACAGCTCTAATCAATGGTTAAGAATGTACGCGGAACCATCAGGTATTGAAGGGGATATTCTAGCCCTTCTGCCTACATTGTGTTGAACACAGAAATGTGATTGAAGAGATGCAGTTCCCAGATAGACTCTGCATAAAACAGAACTCTGTTTTCTCTATTTAGTTTATCCAAGGCAGAGGGAGCATGGCTAGCCTATTGCTTTCAGTGCATGTGGATCCATAATAGCTGAATAGACTTGATTACAGTGGAGCCTCGCTAGACGATGATAATCCGTTCCACTAAAATCGCTTTTTAGTGAAATCATTGTCTAGCGAAAAGCATTTCCCCATTGGAATGCACTGAAATCTGTTTAATGTGTTCCAATGGGGAAGAATCATTGTTGTCTAGTGAAGATTGGCTATAGGAAAGCTGCTTTGCGAACCACTGATCAGCTGTTTAAATCGCTGTCTTGCAAAGCTCAGGTCCCCAAAACACCTGTTTGTGAGGGCGGAGGGAGCTGTCAAAATCGTCGTCTAGCAAAGATCGATTTGCGAAGCAGGGACCAAACATTGTCCAGCGAAATTCCCCCATAGGAATCACTGTTTTGCGAATCGCTATAGCGATCGCAAAAAGCCAATGTCTAGCGAAAAAAATGTCATGCAGGGTAACTGTCTAGCGAGGCACCACTGTACTTCCCTTCACGTGGACACTCTGTTTCTGTTGATGCAGCTGGTCAATTGAAAGGCAGATACGAGAAGAGGAATTCAACCTTTCTTGAATAGGGTTACACTGAAAACCCAGGTCCCCAGATTGGATTTATCCCTCTGAGCCTGAAGGTCCAGTTTTTGGTGACGGCCTGGAGTATATTTGTGCAGCTAAAGCCGGTGTGCCAGCTGCACCCAATCCTTGTGATGTCTGACTTGGCTATGCTGACACATGCCTTAGTTACACCTTGGATTACTACAGCACACTCTACGTGGGGAACACATGCCTTAGTTACACCTCGGATTACTACAGCACACTCTACGTGGGGATGCTTTTGAAGAGTGTTCAGAAACTTCAGTTGGTTCAAAACTCAGCAGCCAGACCGTTGACCGGACCCCGTTATAGGGTGCTTATAATTCCCCTGCTATCACATCCTCACCAGCCCATTTCTGAGCAGAGTTCAAAGTGTTCTTTATGAACTGTAAAGCCCTATACAGTTTGGGTCCAGGCTGTCAGAAGGACTACATAATAAGCCTTCTTGGTTCCTAAGATCTCTACAAAAGGTTCTTATCTTGGTCCCATTACAGGCCTTCTCCCTGCGGCTTTTCCCAGGTTGTGGAATGTTCTCCCTTGGGAGGTCAGGTTCACAGCCTCCCTTCTCTCCTTTCAGTGATAGTTAAATACTCTTTAGGCAGGCTTTTAGTAACTAAATAGCGCAAAATTGAGTCCCTTCTAGATGCTGGGCATATGTTCTTTGCTCCCCCAGGCCCCGAAATGAAGACGCAAGAGTGTATTTTTTTAAGTTTTGATATTTTAATTGTCTAGATAACCTTTTAAATTATTATGACCTGTTTAATTTTTAAAAAAACTTCATAATTCATTCTGCCTAATTTGTTTTAATCCTTGTGAGCCACGAGAAAGGCACCATGGGAATGAAACAAACAAAATGATAAATAAAGCCTTACTGAAAACAAGACAGGTTGCATATATAGCCTTCCCCTCATATCATAAAGGTTAAATTCCTATGATTTGATTTTGAAAGAACTCTGCTGAAATCGTAGCCACTTCAGGGTCATTTCATCCTAGACCAACTGTTTCAAGATCTGTTCCTGGACCTTTCATGCTATATGCGTCAAGCTGGTTGGTTCATGGTGGGGTCATTCCCACCTCCCCATTTTTTTATAGTGGTGAGAATATTTACCTGCTTCCAATCTGCAATTAGTTCTGCATAACCTCTTGAATATACAGTGGTGCCTCGCATAACCAGCGCCCCATTTAACGACAAATCCGCATAGCAATGTGGATTTTGCGATCGCAAAAGAGATTGCATTGCGATGTTTAAATAGGTAAAACATCGCATCGCGGTGATTGGTAAGCGATGTTTTAAAACAGCTGATTGGCGGTTCCAAAATGGCCGCCATATCAACAAAATGGCCGCCCGCAGTGTTTTCACGCTGATTCCTCGCTTACCGAGGCAGCGAAAATTGCGGCCCTATGGAGGATTCCTGCTTAGCGGCGAGTTTATCCCTCATATGGGGTTTTTATTTCCGTATAGTGACGTTTCCGGATAGCGATGATTTATCCGGAACGGATTAACATCGCTATGCAGGGCACCGCTGTATATTAATGTTATTTACTTTATTTTTATCCCACCTTTCCTTCAAAGATAGACTCCAGGTTTGGACAGAGGGCTTCAAAGATCACAGGCTCTTTTAGCACTCTTGGATGGAGTTCATCTGATCCTGGAGACCTGAATTCATTTAAAGTAGTTAGGTATTCTTGTACCAAACTTTTGCTTATGTGTATGGCAGCCCGTTCGTTGCCTCCTTTATCCTGCTGGCCATAGACAGAGCACTGTTTCCCCCTTTTTTTGGTGAAGTGAGAAGCAAATTGAGTGCTGAGCAATTCTGTCAACTCTGTCACCCATCAGCATTTTATAATTTCTTCCAGGCTGCTGACCCACCACTTCCTTCTTCTCCCTCCTGCTTCCAGCAATTTCCAACCTTTGTATTCCAACCTTCCCAGCCTTTGTATTGTTTTTAACCTCTGTTGTAAAACCAAGTCCATTTTGAGCTCTCCAGCCTTTTGGTAACTTTTCTTCCATTTGTTTTTCTTGTTTGTTTTTTTTAATGTATTAAACCGAATAAAACTATAAAAATACAAAGAAAAGATTATGAAATACAATACAAGTATAACACTACAAAGAAAAAGAAAAAGAAAAATATTTTTTAAAACTCAGAATACATAGTACATTTCATATCAAGTACACCCTTCCACCCCAGGATATAGTCATCATTTTTACTTAATACTTTATGCCCCATTTCTCTCCAAAAGTTAAGCTAATCTTTCCCTGGAGTATTTCCTTTCCCTTTCCCAAACACATGTTCTAAAAATACATTTCATATATCCTTGAAGCAATTTCTTATGTGTGTGTGTATTTGAGTTGAAACCAACTTATAGTATTTTCAAGGTAAGTGAGGTATCCACTACACCATACTGGGAATTTCATAATGCATAATCTTCTTATTTGTTGTTTAGTCATTAAGTCATGTCACTATCCCATACACATACACTCCAGTGAGCCTCCATGGCTGAACGGGAATTTGAACCTAGTCCTAGTCCATCACTCTATCCACTACACCATACTGGGAATCTCATAATGCATAATCTTATTTGTTGTTTAGTCATTAAGTCGTGTCCGACTCTTTGTGACCCCATGGACCAGAGCACGCCAGGCCCTCCTGTCTTCCACTCCCTCCCAGAGTTGGGTCCAATTCATGTTGGTCGCTTTGGTGACACTGTCCAACCATTTCGTCCTCTGTCGTCCCCTTCTCCTCTTGCCTTCACACTTTCCCAACATCAGGGTCTTTTCCAGGGAGTCTTCTCTTCTCATGAGATGGCCAAAGTACTGGAGCCTCAGCTTCAGGATCTGTCCTTCCAGTGAGCACTCAGGGTTGATTTCCTTCAGAATGGAAATCTTCTTATGCATGCCTCCATTTAAATCATAGCTGATTCATAAGCTTTATATGCAGGCATCCTGATTTCTTTAGACACTACCTATTTTTCCATCCTCACTGGCAATATTTTCTATTGTGCCTTCAATCTTTCACCTTTAAGAAACTGCCATTCAGTATGAACTCCCTCTTCACCAAGTATTTCCAGCTATAGGGTATCACCCAGTGTTTCTTTACGCTTATTGAAATCAGCCTTCTTGAACGCCACAGTGTGTAACTGACTGCACTCGGCTTTTTCTTTCCGCTGTATAATGAATCTCAAGGGGATGTGGCCAGTTTCACCCATGGTTCGTATTACTTCCACTTCACTGACCAGCTCTTCCCGGTCAGTGAGAAACAAGTCCAAGATAGACAGCCTTCGTCTTACATCTTCTACCTCCTGGAAAATAAAATTGTCAGCAAAGCAACAGAGGAATTTGTGGGATCTTACATTCTTGGCAGAGTTTTGTTTCCAACAGATATCAAGGTAGCAGAACTTTCCTATTATGACTATATTTCTCCTTTTATTGTGTTTGGTCACCTGTTCTACAGAGGCATAACCAAAACCATCAGTCTTGGGGGTTGAGCGGGTAGAAAGAAAGATTTCAATACAGTGTAATTTTTCAGACATTTGCCTAACATTTGTCCTTCTCTGCTTTACTAAATAATTCCATTAAATATAAAGCTTTTATAGTATTAACCTTAGTCAATAATTTTTGTAGGTTACTCTCCTGAAGGTACATAATTATAGAGCAAGCATGCCAAGCGGTTCATGTTTAGCAAGTCACGCTTTGATAATACTGCTCCCCTGTCTAAAATAACTCAACTCAACCTCTTAATAGCTACAGCAAATACAAGGCTAATCTGAAGACAAGGTGGTCTGGAAAATCAACCTACTGTGTGTGATGAACCTTTCTATTTTTCTGAAAACCATATGATCTCATACTCCCAGTTAAACAAATCTTTTAATCTTGCATGCTGGAAAAAAAAGAAAAAGAAATGGGCTTTGTTGGTACATGTGGATGGACCTCAAGAGATAAGGGGTAGACCTAGAGGTTGTGTGAACAGAACAACTTCGTTCTTCCTGCCTTTCCTATCTGCAAAGCCTCTCTGGAGTGAAAAATTACTGGCTAAATGTGAGGAAGTTCTTTGCTCTCAATTTTTTTCCAGGCTGTTTTGACATAACAAGATAGCGCAACAAAGCATTCTCCATTAGATTTCTCACCTCGAGTGCAGGGCTGGGGAAAAAAATACTTATCACCCCTGAGACTTCTGCAATAGAAAAAAATAGATACATTTCTGTGCAGAATTAATGTTGTCTGCCTTTTTTCGGACGGTGTGGTGCTTATATACCACCCATGGCACATAAAACACCCTTGGGGGGTTTACAAACTAATTATAATCTACACATTAATCTACACATTGTACTTCCCTCCCCCCAGGATGCTGGGTACTTAATTAACCCATGGAAAGATGGGAGGCTGAGTCAACCTTGAGCTGGCTACCTGAGTCTGGTGGGATCAAATGCAGATCGTGAGCAGACCTTTGGACTGCAGTAGTGCAGTTTAGCCATTGTGCCCCAAGGCTTCACTAAGTGCAGAAAGCACAGAAATATTGGCGGTTTAGGTTTTTTTTTTTAAAAAAAAATGCAAAGAACCCATGCACAGGCAAACATTTTCAAAAGTATGTGCCACAAGGTTGCAGCTATTGTAGTTTTACTTGATTTGTATGATTTGCGATATTCGTACACAAATCCATCTTGGCAAATGGAATCTTTGGATCCAGTTGTTTTTGGAATGTGCCATCAAGTCACCTCCAACTTATGGCAAACCTATGAATGAGTCATCTCCCAAACGTCCTGTCTTCAACTGCCCCGCTCAACTCTTGTAAACTCAAGACTGTGGCTTCCTTGATATAGTCAATCCATCTCTAATTTGGTATTTTTCTTTTCCAAGTTATACACCCACAAAGTGTGTCTCCCCCCCCCCTCCTGGAAAGTGCCCTTTAGAAGCTGGATTTGGGAAACCCAATCTTCATCAGACTGAAAGATATTATACAGGAGAGTCGTAGGAAGCTAGCCTGTGTAGGAGTCAGGGAGGGGGTATTTGTGAATGCATAACTCAGACACTCAAAGTCCAAACTTCACAAAACTTGCAGGGCTTGTAGGGGAAGAGTCCCTGCAAATTTGGTGTCTCCAGGTGCTTGGGTGGCTGTTTTATAGGATTGCAAAGTCCAAAACAAATTGACAAACTGATTCGTTAATTCATCAGAAAAAAATCATAAATTTGTAATTCATACTTTTCAAAATAAGATAAGTCAAGAGATGCCAGCGTAAATCTAAATGCTAGTTTTTATTAGAGCAGACCCAATGAATTGGTTTATCTACTAGTGGTAGGCCATAACGGTTTGTTTGTGTCACTATAGTGCATGGAGTGTCCTATTTTGATCAAGTTCAGTTCTGTTCTGCAAGACTCTTATGCAGACCAGTTAGGGTTAGACTAAAGAAATTAGAAATGTCTTGAATTCCAAGGCCCAAATAACAGAGGTTGAGGTATCTGCAACCAGGGAGAATCATCCTCCTGTCATCCCCATGGAGTTCAGTCCATACTATTTAGAATCAAGGGAGTAAGAGCAGTGTGTGTGACTTTAGCACTCGTTTGAAATCTGCTGTTTGATGGAGGAGATGAAAATCAGTTGGTTGAATGTGAGAGCAAATTTGTGTGGGTCTTTTTCTTTGGCCAAGATGGTGTCTTGTTTATGGCCAATGATTTTTTTCCTGCAGAAACAGACCCCATATTTACTTGTTATCACAGCTATCCAACAGCTATTTTATTGCTACTTTTAGGATGTTCTGCTCATCAGAAGAACTGGTGTGCAATCCAGTTGGGGCAATAAATTAAACAGCTGGCCACACACAGTGTAGGTATTTGAATTGCTCTCTAGATAATGGAGTGGAGAGGAAAGTAGGCGTGAGTATGAGTGTGCTCACATGCACACACCATGGTTGGATAAAAATAATTAGGCAGAAATCAGAAATACCCCCCCCCTTTCCAAGCATGTGAAACTTATTCTTTTCAAGATTAATGTCTTCCTGTCTACAGCTTTTTGTATTAAAGTTCTTTTCTTTTTTAACAACAACAAAAGGGGATGAATCAGGACTTAATAATGGCTTGAAAAGAGTTCAGCATCTAACAGGCTATTTTAATCAGTGTTTGGCATCCGTCACAATCTTACAGATTCATTCAGGGTTCTAGTCCCTCGGCACTTTAGGAATGGTCCAAGATGCTTGTTAAAAAGGGGGTGGGAGGGAGAGAGAGTGTTGGGTCCCAGACTTTTCCAAATCTCTGCTCTGTTTCCTTTTAGACACACCTAAGCCACCCACGGAGGATGCGTTCATCCTGCATGATGAATATGGGAGCTCGACAAGGTTGAAAAGATCCCCCGTTAAAAATCAAAAGGGTGGAACACTGAACGTTGAAACGCTGGTTGTGGCAGACAGGAAAATGCTGGAGAAACACAGCAAGGAAAACATTACCACATACATCTTAACCGTGATGAACATGGTAAGGCAGCATGGTGCGGCAGCTAAAATAAAACTCCGCTCATGCTAAATTGGTCAAAAGTAGTGAAGAGAAATGTTCAGGTCTATTTAGATCACAGTGCAAAAGGGATGAGCACACGGTGGCCAAAACCTTGTTCCTTAACATAGTAAATCATGCTAGTTGAGGCCCACTGAATCAATGGGGTTTTGGTAAGTCAACCCCTCTGTAAGTTCCATTGATTCAAATGGACCCCCTCTGACTGCAACTTACTAGGTAAAGATAAAGGTTTCCCCTTGACAATTTGTCCATTCGTGTCCGACTCTAGGGGGCGGTGCTCATCTCCGTTTCTAACCCATAGAGCTAGCGTTTGTCCGAAGACAATCTTCCGTGGTCACGTGGCCAGCATGACTAGACACAGAACACTGTTACCTTCCCACCGAGGTGGTACCTATTTATCTACTTGCATTCGCATGCTTTCGAACTGCTAGGTTGGCAGGCGCTGGGACAAGTGACGGGAGCTCACTCCGTCCCGTGGATTCGATCTTATGACTACAGGTCTTCTGACCTTGCAGCACAGAGGCTTCTGAGGTTTAATCTGCAGCGCCACTACATCCCAACTTACTATGCGAAAGTAAATCAAAGAGTAGACTCATTTGAATCAATGGAACTTACAAAGGAGATAATTCACCAAATTTCCATTGATCCAGTGGGCTTCCACGAGTGCAATTTGCTATGCTAAACACCAGGATTTTCGCCAGTATGTGCATGAATTTCAGCATGAATAATCTGAAACATGGTTCTCTGTGTGCTGTGGAACTTGAGAGCAGTACAAGTGTACAAGCTATTGTAGTACCAGGCTTAGCTTGTGCTATCTTGTAGAGGGCTGAAGGATGCTGTCTGTGTGCTGTGGAACATGAGAGCAGTACAAGCTATGGTAGTACCAGGATTAGTTTGTGCTATCTTGTAGAGGGCTGAAGGATGAGGCGTGCACTGCACCCCACATAAACGGTGGCTTTATAAATTCATATCCCTATAGGTCTGGTAGTTGTAAAATGAGTCTGAGGGAGGAAAGATGGAGACAAGCGAGAAGAGCCTGAACAGGAACAAAATCATGTGAACGTGGAACAAAGAGAGTGGTTCAGCCATTTATTTGGCGGTGCCTGATGTGCTGCTTTCAAAATACAGATGGAAATGAGAGCAACTTTGGCAGCCGCTTGTTCAAAATCTGCTTGACGCTCTCACGGAGTAAAGATAGAATGAAATATAACTGCGGAGACGTGTTTTTCTTTCATAAACCATTTCCTTTTCGCAGCACTGCTTGGCCGGGGCTGCGCATAGCTTTGTACTTGCAAGGAGCTGTGTCATTTTAAATTAAACAGCACAATGCAGTCAATCCCAAGGCCTTGTTTGAGCGATTAAGCCTTGCTCCGGTGTGAGGAAGGAAACAAGGTTACGAACTTGCTCCCTCTTTCCCCTCCTGACCTCTCTCCTTGCTTATGCTGCCTACGGTGCTGCTCAGACATCGGAATGCCTCCTTCTTTGGAAAGAAGTCCAATCATCCTTCATTAGTGAGGGATGGTGTGTAGACAGTTGGACTTGAAACTGGGCAAAGAGGGGGAGGGATGCCAATATGAAGGAATACCGTATGTAATTATACAAGCTCCCAGTTTGATTCTAGGCAAAATTTAGAGAGCTGGCATTGTTGATTTCTAAAGGTGTGATTGCCCTGGGATTAATCTTTTGAAAGCAGCAGCTGAAAGCCATATGTGGCCCACTGAGCCCTCAGTAAATATGAGATGGGTGCAACCCTGGCCACTTTGCAACTGCCTTCCCCTTCCTTAAGGCATCACCTTCTGCTGTCTGAATATAGATGGATCTTAAGGCCATTTTCTGAAGCCCTGCTCCAGCTGCTTCCTCCCTGAAAAAGCAGATCTACTAGGGATGTGAATCTAAAAGTACCTCACTCTTGGCAAGAAAAAGTCCCTCTCTCTCTTTTTTTTTTTTTTTTGTTGCAGCGAGATTTGCAACAAGATTTCTGTGACATATCTTTTCTAAGATATATCATCCAAAAACCTGTGAGGATTTTTTTGGGAACCTCTTTGGTCATTTCCACACTCCCCCTCCTAGACTGACCACAAAAGTTTTCCATAGTTTTTTTTTCCACAAAATGGCAGAAAGTGGGAAATCGTGATGCTCTAGTGGGAGGTCTCAACAGTAGAGAGGGGCACAAACCCATCTCTGCTGGGCTGGTTCATGATTTGGTTCGTGATACAGTTCGGGGATCCCATTTTCCCAAAATGAGACAAAACACCAAACTGTTTTCCCCCATTGGTCCTTCATTTGGCTTCTGCAAAATGGGATGCCCGTTCTTCCCCTCCCCTGCCCCCATCGCCTCCCTACCTTGTCTTGAAGCTGCATCCTCTGCCGCCGCCATTGCCACCACCATGCTGAGATTGGCCCCTTGTGCAGAAACCAGGCTTCCCGCCTTTGTGCACATGCTTGCTTGTCAGCTGAGTGATGGGTGCATGCACACAGGCAATGGTTTGTGTTTCATTTTTCGGGTTCATGCCAGGAGGTTCATGATAGTTCATGGATCGTGGGTAGCCATGAACCATGAAGCATCAGGGGCCACTGATTTTCTGGTTTGTGCCCCTCTGTATTCGACAGGGATATTCAGCATGATCAGAGTCAGAAAATTATGGACAATGAGTACTTGCCCAAGTAACTTTCTGGGTACTCATTCTACCTTGGGTCCCTTCTGGGTCAAGGCATTTTCTGTCTTGATAACCTGTTTATGGAATGACTTCACATTCTTTGGCATCTTTTAGATGCCACATAAAGGTCTGTTTATTTACCTAAGCAGTTGATAAATTGTGATACAAGGGGTAGTAGGTAACTATAGACAGTGCTTTGAACCATGTGTAATGAAACATTCCTTTTAGGTTCTGATATTCTGAGACTTGTTGTTTAGTCATTTAGTCATGTCTGACTCTTCGTGGCCCCATGGACCAGAGCACGCCAGGCCCCCCTGTCCTCCACTGCCTCCTGGAGTTGGGTCAAATTCATGTTGGTAGCTAGTTCTGAGACTAGTTGAGGTTTATTCCCCCCTCATTGATTCTACAATTGCTTTGTGCCCATTTTCTTTGTTTGATGTTTATTTATGGTGCCTTCAACATTTGTGTAAATGTTAGGAGGAAAATGTAAGGTTTTAAGGAAATAAAAAAAAGTAGCATTGTTAATTCCAGAGCCCAATCTGAATGCTGACTGTACTATAGTTATTTTGCTCAGACTGCTATGGAGGCTGATAATAGTATAGGATCGTATAGATAATGTATCTCTCATAGAGAGAGATATTGAGGAAGATTGGCAATATTTGCATATCATTCCGAATTTTGGTTTATAAAGCTTGTCTTCTCCCAGATTTTTAAAAGAGGAGGGTTTTTCGCACTTCTGCTTTCCTTTAAACTCAGCTTCTTGTATCATGGTTTCAAAACAGGCCTTAAAACAAGCTCATTTTAGTCCATTGATAACCTGACTCATGGAAACTAACTCCAAAAAATACAAAGCACAACTCGCAGTTTAGACACATTTCAAGCCGAGTGTTAGAGACAGGAAGCATGTAGAATTGTGTACCCCAAAGGGAATTAGGCTAAAGTCATTGTAATTCGTGGTCATCAGGTTCATGGTGTAGAGTGACTAGGGTATACAGAATAAATGGCTTGCTAAATTCCTGTCCTCATTAAAGATCTACTAAACAATCACACATTTTCTTGCCCTCCACAAAAAGCACCATAAAATTATCCAAGGAAAAGTTGTTAACGAATGCAAAATCTTTCACTCCCGCACAGGAGTGGGAAGAGCAGCATCTTTTCAGAAAAGTTTTATTGTGCACAGAAAACATTGGCCAAGATCCTATCCAATTGCATGTTTGCAGAAAACGTTGCATTTTGGAACAAAAATAGGTGTTTCTGCAAAAAAGTAAGATGTCTGAAAAACATGCTTCTGAGAATTTTTCTCCCAAAAGTATTGAAATGCAAAAAGTGCACAAAAACAAGGGTAACCCAGTAGAGCAAGAGTGTTTAGAATTTTTCCTTCTCATCTGCAAGAAGAAAATTAGCCAAGATTCATATATCCCTAGTTTTTGTTGTTAGAGGTAGTCTTGAAATGATAAGATTCATGTCCGGGTAAAACTTAGAGTGTATTTTTTTCACTAATTAATGTCTCTCAAATTTGCACAAATTGGTGTCTGCACTAAATTAATGTACTTTCACTTTGAGAAGCAAGAATGAACATAGAAAAAACACAGAACTACCGGCTAATTGTCTATAAAAATTCTGTAAACAATGTATCTAATGCTTCTTATCCTTAAAAGTCCATGCATACAAAACAGCTGCCCCTATAAATTTGTGTTATTGGCACCAAAGCTTTATGTGCACAATATAACTTAATTTGCACTTGTCCAGAGTGTTGCAACATAGTTCGTCCTCTTGTGGACGAGAAGAATCATTTTGTGGGACCTCATCCTCAACTGTGAGATTGAGACAAGCAAGGATTCGCATTTTTCTCTGTGACAAAAAAAATTGCTGAGCTCTGAGCCCAAGGAACCTGAGTTCACATCCTGCTTCTGAGCAATTAAATGAATGTTTCTGAATAAGTTGTTTTGACATAATTCAAGAAAGTACCTGCTCACGTGTATAAAATGATTGTTCCCATTCATTTTAGTGAGGGTTGCACAAGAGAACTTTCTGATGAACTAGGCATATGTTGATGCTCTCTCCATCTTATGTTGTCATCATGAAGTTACGGGGTTGGACTGTCACTATTTATTTTGATTGCCTCCTATTCTTCAACTCACTGGTCTGTGCCAACCTTCACACAGGTATCGAGCCTTTTCAAAGATGGTACAATTGGAAGTGACATCAACATTGTAATTGTGAGCCTTCTTCTTCTGGAGCAGGAACCTGTAAGTGATATGTCAGAAAAGGTTTCTCATCATCTGAGGTGGGAAGAGCTATTATAAGGAGCCTACCTGGGTATAACGATCACCAGGAGAGAAAGAGAGGCCTTTCTCTAGGTCACTGGTTCTTAACCTTGGGATCACCAGGAGAGAGAGAGAGAGGCCTTTCTCTCGGTTCCACCACCCTCAAAGGTGCACTTGGTGGGGACATGAGAGAGCGACTTCCCTGTTGCTCTCAGACTTGAAACTCCCTCACAAAGGAGGCCAGACTGGCTTCATCTTTGCTGTTCTTCTGCAAGCAGACAAATACAGTTTTTTCCCTTCAGGTAGGCTTTCCTTTTAAATGACTGGTTGACCAAGGGGATTTTTTTTTAAAAAGGGAACATTTTATTCTGTGTTTTCCTCGCCTTTTCAATATTGCTTTTATTATGATTTTAATATACTTGTTTAATGATAATTTACTATTTGGCTTTCATTTTGTTGTAAAACTGTAAGCCACCTTGGATCTTTTGGAGGAAAGGTGGCATATGAATATTTTAAATAAATAAAATAATAAATGAAGAGGGAATTCCACCTAAGGAATTCTTATGACATTGTAAGCCACCAATTAATCTCCCAAACCCATCTGTTTATTATGTATAATAATATTATGGTGCATCATAAAGTGTATTGAGATCCTGCTAACCAATGCCCGCCTTACCAGGCTTTTGCTGGGTGGCCAAGGACTGGCAAGCAGAGACAGGCATAAGACCTTTGGTACTTGATGTACAAGTCTGTGGTGGGCACAGCCCTGTCAATCCACCAGTCCTGGATTCCCATGGGGAGAAGATCTTTTGACTGGGATGGAGCCACATGCCTGTCTCCTTCACTGAGGATCTGGTCCTGTGGACAAACACTGCCACAAAAGACGGATAAGGCCTACTGGCTTAGTTTGCTTACTTGGCAAACTATTCCTGCTGCAATCTCTCCAAGAGGCCATTCCTAATACCTGCCAGCCATCTCTCTTGTGCCCAAGGTCTGAAAGGTGCTCTCTGTCACCCCTGAAGAGTTTGGGCTTTGAATACAAAACACCCTGGTGATGTGTCCACAGACTCTCATTGTCTGTGTGACAATGCACCACTGGCAAATGAGATTGTTGCCAAAGTCTCCCAGAATTTAAAAGATATTTGCTGGTCGAAAAACGTAACTTCCATTGTCTCTCCAAAGTTCTTTCTTTTTCCGTTGCTGGGAATAGAACTTTCTGACTATCTGTGAATTACCTCTAGGGTGGACTGGTGATCAACCACCATGCAGACCAGTCATTAAACAGCTTTTGCCAGTGGCAGTCTGCTCTGGTTGGAAAAAATGGGAAGCGTCATGACCATGCCATCTTGCTTACTGGATTTGATATCTGCTCCTGGAAGAATGAACCCTGTGACACTTTAGGTATGCCAGAGAAACAGCCTATGTGAATATGATGCTGACCTTGCAGTGAAACTAGTATAATTCACCGGGACTCAATGTCATTGTTGTTGTTATATGCCATCAAGTCATGGCGACCTCATGAATGAGTGATCTCCAAAAATACCCAGTCCTCAACTGCCCTGCTCCGCTCTTTAAACTAAAGCCTGTAACTTCCTTTAGGGAATCAATCCGTCTTATACAGTGGTGCCTCGCAAGATGATGTTATCTTATACAGTGGTGCCTCGCAAGACGATGTTAATTCGTTCTGTGAAAATCGCTGTCTTGCGAAATGCAGTTCCCCATTGGAATGCATTGAAATCTATTTAATGCATTCCAATGGGGGAAAAATCACTGTCTTGCAAAAATCGTCCATAGAAAACATTGTCTTGCAAAACACTGTTTCCCCATTGGAATGTATTGAAATCTATTTAATGTGTTCCAATGGGGGGGAAAAGTCTTGTGAAACATCGGTCTTAAAAAAAAAAAAATCTTGCGAAATGCGGTTCCCCATTGGAATGCATTGAAATCTATTTAATGTGTTTCAATGGGGGAAAAAACTGTCTTGCGAAGCATCGGTCTAAAAAACAAAAACAAAACCATCTTGCAAAGCATAGATCCAAATATCGTCTTGCGAAAATCGTCCATATGGTCTAAAAAACAAAAACAAAACCGTCTTGCGAAGCATAGACCCAAATATCGTCTTGCGAAAATCGTCCATAGGAAAAACCGTCTTGCGAAGCACAGTAGCAATAGCAAAAACCCATTGTCTTGTGGATTAATTGTCCCGTGAGGAAATCGTCTTGCGAGGCACCACTTTATTTGGTATTCCTCTTCTTCTACTCCCTTTAGCCTTTCCCATCATTATTGTCTTTTCCAGAGGCAGCGATAGCAAAAACCCATTGTCTTGCGGATTAATCATCCCGTGAGCATTATTGTCTTTTCCAGAGAATCCTGTCTCCTCTGATGTGCCCGAAGCAGGATAGCCTTAGTTTCAACATTTTTGCTTCCAGAGTTATTTCAGACTTGATTCTCTCTAGGGTTCACTTGTGCATCTTTCTGCCAGTCTGAATTATCCTCAAATCTCAGTTCCAGCATCAGATTTCAGATGAATCCATTTCTTTTCCTGTCCAGCTTTCACACCCATACATGGTGATCGGAAAGACAAGGGTATGGGATGGTCTTGATCTTGATCTCTAGTGACACATCCTTACACTTGATGGTGTTTTCTAATGCCTTCATTGATCTTTAGGCTAAATCCTGCAGGATTAAATACAACAGTGTAATATAACACTAATCATACAATGGTGTGGCTGTCTAAGAACGTTTGTATTTTATTAAACTTTCCAACCAACAGAAGGAAGGCAGGGAAATAAGAGAGAAATATGAGTGATATATTTGCTACTAACAGCTACTATCCTGGACAACAGTGGAGAAAACCTACTGTAATAGACCAAATGACATGTGCATGCTTCTCTCTGGCACCAGAACCGTTCACACATATTTGGGCCACATTACATTTTATGTATATAGGTGCATCTCAAAAAAACACCTTAGGCTCTTGTTTTCAATAAGAGTTATGCCAAGCGCTTCAACGGTTAAGTGTAGAAATACTCTTAAGAAACTGGGATTATCGGATGGGTTACTGCTTAATATAAAGCTCACCTGTTTGCTTTTTAAAAATTCATTTGCTTTTGTTCCAGTTTAATACTGCAGTGAGTACAGATTCTGTCTGCCTATCTCTTTGTCTGTGTTCTTTTGGCAGCAGTGGGATCAGAGAAAGTCTCATATTCTGATTGATGCAGGAAGCATGAATAGTTGTGCCTGATTTTGCAGTACAGAGCATCAGGGAATTAAGATATGTGAACATGCTGGAGTCTGTCAAACCAGGCCATTTAAAAAAAACAACACACAAAACCCCACCAAACACAGAAAACAATGAAGCAATGTGAGCAAAATAATTGGAAATGTTCTCTGAGCTTTGATCATGTTATGGAAGATCAGGGGATGAAAATTGCCAAATCCACCAGGCAACAGAGGGGTTTCTCCATTTCGTTGGGTCCTCTGCTCAGTATTGCACCTACAGTACTTTTGTGAGGAATCCAGCTACCCAGAAAGTGTGGGGTAAAAAAGTCAATGAGAATGTAGCATGTTGATCCCACTTTTTCATAGATTCCTTCAGTATTATCTAATTTGGAGAATTTTGGAAACCCGACTATGTTGGACCCAAAGGAGATGCCTTATGAAGGACCAATCATGGATGGCTGCTGTGCGCAGTCATATTGTTTTAGATTTTGAAAGTATCTCTGGCCAGCAGCCACCTTGTTCTTTCTGGCTGACCTTCCAAAAACAAAATATGTTGGCGTCCTTCTTTTAAAATAGCTTTCCCAGCTGACAGGACTGATGTTGAGTCAGCAGAGAGAGTCTATGTTAGTTTTGTAAGCCAGCTGCTACAGACAGAGTGCATTTTTTTTCTTGTATTGGGCCCACTGTTAACCATGTGTATATGTTGACATGCGCTGTATTTTATTGGGCCCACTGTTAACCATGTGTGTATATATATGTATATATGCCCTGAAGTTTTCCATGAAGTGTGTGCTCAATCTCTATGAAGGTATGGACCAGAATATACAGATATGTGTGTTTATGTATATGTAGATAATTTCATTCTTGTCTCCCATCCCGTCCCCATTCCCTACTAATTCCTGGCAGGCTTTGCTCCAATCAGTGGAATGTGCAGTAAATATCGTAGTTGTACCATCAATGAAGACACTGGACTTGGTTTGGCCTTTACTATTGCCCATGAATCTGGACACAAGTAAGCTATTTCTCGTGAGTCTTTCCCTCTACAAGTTACTAAAACACAATGCTTGTTATGTGCTATCGGGTTGTTTCTGATTTATGGTGACCTGCTATGAAATTAATGAAGTTGAAGTTCAGGGCCAGGGGGCCCCCAGAAACGACTTTAGTCCACCCTGTTTTAAAAATTGTGGTGATCTGTCATGGGACAACCTAACTGGAAGAGATAACTAGTTAATTGCTGTGGGTTTTTCGGGCTCTTTGACCGTGTTCAGAAAACAGCCAAAGAGCCCAAAAAACCCACAGCAACCATCAGATCCCGGCCGTGAAAGCCTTCGAGAATACATTTAACAGTGGTTACCCACACCTTGTTGTTGGTTGCAAAGGGAACCCACTGCAATTCAATCTTCAGGACCCCAGAAATGTAGGTCCACCATTGGTGACCCTACTAGGGTTTTATACCATGGTGAAGAGCAGCCAGTGAGGGCTAATGCTTTCCTCTTCCTGGTCATCATCTTCATCCTCATTGCTTTGATCCTCATGGCCACACCCCCAATGGGGAAAAGGAAAAGGGATTAGATGGACCCTCCATATTGGTCCAGTACAGCTCTTCTTACATTTGTTGTAAGCAACCCACTGAAGGGTTGAGAATGAATGAGAATGAGGCTTAAAGTTACTATCTGGTGTTTTACTCAAAACCAATGGCTATAGGAAATTTTGAAATTTGGGTTGATGAGTGAGGCATATAGGCAAATCAAATTTTTTTTTTGCCATGCCATGACCATTCCCAAGGTATCGATAGCAGACTAATTGTGGCACTGAGCACGAAGGCAAGATTAAATCCAGCATTCCCTTTGTTCAGGACATTGTATGAAAACGCATCCCGCACAGAAGCTCCCCTTTGTTTGCTGACAGTTCTATTCAGCTCCTTCCCTTTTGTCAATGGCCATGCTGCTGTCATCCCATTCACGTGTTACATGAATCCCTGATTCTGCATGACTGCTTGAGGCTATTCAGTTCTCATTGTGTAAACACACAGTACGGCATCGACTGTGACCTCACTTCTCCACGAGTGGCCCCCTTTTGCAGGTTTCTGCCCATCTGGAAAGGAAATAAGGAATTAAAGGCTAATCCAAAATGCAGTGGTGGGTTTGCTCTGGATTTCAACAGTGGAATGGGGGGGGATGTATAAAAAAATAAGGACTTTAGAACTGAACCTCTTAGTTTGTGGATAGAAGTGTGTCATTTGTCAGAGATGAGATTGTAGAGGAAGCCTTACAGCCTCCATCTCAGTTTCATGTTCTCATGTTCTCGAGAAGAGGTCAGTTTTGTTAGCACTGATGGGCTCTTTCAGGTTCTCATGTTCTCTAGAGGTCAGTTTTGTTAGCACTGATGGGCTAGGTTTATGTCGATTCAGCTTCCGTCCATTTCCTCAGAGAAGGATCGTGTACAATATGGTTGCTCTTACAAGATCAATGCCATTTTTTTTATGAGTGGCCTCTATGAAAACACCTGATGTGTTTGCAGGAACATGCTCTTTTATTGGAGCAACTCAACAGTAACCAAGACAGTGTGGCTCAAGAACAAAACTTAAACAGTCCTATGTTTACTGGGGAGTTAATGGCACTCCCAAACAGTTCAGATCAATGGGACCAGTCCACAGTAGCCTCTTTTACTGGGAGGTGTGGAACCTCCCTTCCCCTACCAGTTCCAAGACACCCCACAGGTTCCCCAAGCACTGGGGGCCTCAGCAAAAGTGTTGAATCCAGGCACTCAATTGTTCCTGGAGTAGAGTAGCTTAGGTGCCTTGCCCTGCTACTCCTTGGTAGTCATTACTAGTGACAGTTACACCATACATGTGATACACTTCCCTGGAGACACCGACAGGGAGTTCACCAGTGTACCAAGGTGCAAGAGAAAGATGACTAGGAGGAGGGCTGGCTGAATGGCATTTAGGATACTGCCAGTGAGAACCTGGCAGCAGGGCTTTTAGCTGTTGCTGCTTCTCTGCCAGTGGTGTTCCTTATGTTGGTTCTCCAGTCATTTTGCCTTTCACCCTCTCACCTCCACTTGGTGTACTCGGACTGCTTCCTCTGGCAATATGAAGACCTCCTGTTGTAAGGGTTCTGGCGATGGATTGTCTCCCTACCAGAGTCACCCAGTGGAGCTCTTTTGAGTGGTCAGTAGCCTGTTCCATCATGGCCCCTAGGAAGATAGTGCTGACCACTCGGTCGCCTGCTGTGAAAAACGTTGCACAGCACTTTGGATTTCAAAGTCACTCAGATCCGCTCTGACTTGGGTGCTGTAGTTAATGCAGGACCTGTACATGTTACTAGATGGGACCTCGACTAACGAACGTCCCTATCTACAAACATTTCGACTTACGAATGGCTCCGTTCGCAAAAATTGGCATCGACTTGCAAACGGAGCCTCGACCTACGAATGAAAAAAGGCAGGGGAAAAGGGTGGGAAATTCAAATTTCCCGCCATTTCCCCCTGCCTTTTTGCCTTCCCCTCCCCCTCGGAACACATTGATCGGTTTTCAATGCATTCCTATGGGAAATGGTGCTTCGACTTAAGAACGTTTCGACTTAAGAATGCAGTCCCAATACGGATTAAGTTCTTAAGTCAAGGTACCACTGTATGTTTCCTGCTTGTCCTGTGCTGATGGATAAGTTTCAGCTTTTGCAGCCTGATGATGTGAACAGGACTCTTGGACAGGTGAAGACTACCTCTTGTCTGCTAGACCCTTGCCTGTCTTGGCTTATAAAAACTGAGAGAGAGAAAGAGAGAGAGAGAGAGAGAGAGAGAGAGAGAGAGGAAACAAGGAACACATACAGTATTCAGGCATCCGTAAGCAGCTAAACTCTTCTTCATATTGAAGCTAGGAAAAAATTATAGCAACTTGAGCTGTTTTGTGAGAGTTCTGGTCTGACAAGGCAGTACAAGACCAGCCAACGTATCTGAGCAACCTTGACATTTATGCAACTGGCGGCAAAGCAGATGATTCCAATTTGTTTGTAAAATGTACAGAGCAAAAGAGTATGTGACAGAAATGCGGGCACACCACCTCCGCATGGACAGTGTCTTTCTTGATGTGGGATTCCCTGAAATCTATGTTTAAGGTTGACGGTAGGGCATTAAATCCGGGATAATCGAAATGTGGTTAGATAACCTGTTGGAGTCTCATATGATGGGAAGGCGCCACTTGCCAAAGAGGAAGAGGCAAAGGGGAAGATGAATTTTTGTTTCTCGAGATAGTGAAGTTTCTGGGTGAGTGTTCTACAGGCCTGTTGCTGTCCAAGCATAGAATCAAGGAACATACCCATGGACCTAATTTTATGTTGGGTCAGAGACAGACACTTGCTGGATTAGGAATCAGTTAGCATACGGTACACATAACTAAGGTAAGCTCAGGTAAGAAGTTGCCATAACCAGAATATTAGAGTCTGGATCCATGCTCTGGTTTCTAGTTGCCGAACTTCAACTTTTACTGTAAGTATAGGGGTGCATATCCTGCACAATTAGGAACACCCGGGATACGACTCAGGGAGGAGGTTTGTATATTCTCTATCTCAGAATTAAGCACACTAATCCAGATGGGTGTGCCATTAAGTATTTGGGCCTTGGGCCAGTTACTCTTATTACTCTTATTCCAGTTTACCTACCTCACAGGTTTGTTGGGTGATAAAGTGAGTATGGGAGAGACCACACCATCTTAAGCTCACTGCGGGAAGACTATAGCTATAGCTAATAAATAAAATTAAAGGTTCTATTTGCTGTTCCAGTAATATTCACTAGTTTCTCATTCATTTTTTGGCATTATCCTCCCCTTTTTTCTGTTATAACGTTTCTTTTCAGCTTGGCATGTACATATTGATATCCGGACAGGAAGGATTTATAAAAGCCCCCCCCCCCCAGTATCTTGGAGAGACTGCAATGCTTTCATTTGGCAATAGCTGTTCAAAATTTCCTCCATTGTCATTTGTCTAAACATGTGCCTTTTCAGCTGCATAATATGAGAAATTGGCAGCTGTGTCCTTCAGATGCCTGGAGGCAGATGATCCTTAGAAATGTTGCCTAATGATCGTAGTAGCAGTGAGATAGTACATAAGGACATGAGGGAGTGTTTGAAAGAGTTCTAGGATTTTTTGTCAAATAAGTCACTTAAGGATTAATAGAATTTCCTTCCCTATAAGATGAAGGAGAACACAGATGGGCTCAAGTTGAATTATGAAAACCCATGGTTTACATCCAATTGTCAGCTCCAACAAGAATAGATCCATTAAATCAATGGGACTTAGATAAGTCAACATTTATGTAAGTCCCACTGACTCAGTGGGTTTGCTCTTTTTCGGGCCTACCAACTGGATTGAACCCAGGGGCTGTAATGTTATGCTTTTGTGGACAGGTTAGAATTGATAGCATACATATGTTCCATGTGCTTCTTCTAGAAGTAAACAAAGATGGAACAGACTCTCCGGACAGAGCATGGACAGAGTTCCTACTCCAGTCCTCTGAAGATGCCGGCCACAGAGACTGGCAAAATGTCAGGAAGAACAACCTTCAGAACATGGCCAAAGAGCCCAAAAAAGCCACAACAACCACATCATGCTAGCTTCCTAAAGAAGAAGCTAGTTCACATTGGAAAGATTGTTTTTAACATATCCTCCGGACCTCAGATTGTTCAGGACCTTACAAATCAAGATTTCTAATTGGGCATATAAACTACATGGGAATAACCAAGTTACCATTATTGATTTTCTGTGGTTCATTGTACATTCCTTGAGAAATATTGTTGATGTTCCTGTATTCTGGACCGCTTATTGTTTCTTTCTAGTTTCCCATATGAAGTTGCTGCAATAATCATTTACATGCCACCGACAATTTTTCCCCCTTTATTCTTGGTCTTCAGTTCTCTTATTATCCTTTTCATCGTTTATGTTATTTTTATCTTTTGGTCTCTGTAGTTTTGGCATGATCCATGATGGAGAAGGGAATCCTTGCAGGAAAGCTGAAGGTAACATCATGTCTCCCACCCTCACAGGAAACAACGGAGTGTTTTCATGGTCAGTGTGCAGCCAGCAATATCTTAACAAATTTCTCAGGTAGGATGACCTGAATCTATTGTTTTTGAAATTTGAAATACTACATGGTGCCATGAACCTACTTCTAAATAATTAGGGGATGCAGTTTTTGCCAGGGTTAAAAACCCTCATTCCCATTGCCTCTCTCCTCCTTCTGGCTTTTATTTCTCACAGATCTCTTTCTCTGTCCCCAAAAACTTCTAATCATTCAAAATGGCACCCATTTTGCCTCAGTTAGAAAGCCTTTCATTTCCCTCATGTCAATGCTGCTTTTTTCTCTCCCTGCTCTTTCTTTCTCCTTACTCTTTATCTCTCTCTACCTCAGTTCTCATTCATTTTTCTCCTCTGTTACCTCTCTTCCCAATCAAGGACCATAAGTTCTCTCTCTCTCTCTCTCTCTCTCTCTCTCTCATTCTCTCTCCCCCTCTCCCTCAAGGAATCCTTCTATCTGAAGGCTGCCACGTTCTTCTCTGAATCCAGGCAGCCATGTGCACAACTTATGCAGATTACTTGCTTATTATGCAAATTTTGTGGTAGGTCATAAAAGATTGATGTACATATGCTCACACACCTTTTTAAAAATTGCTTTATGGGCAGGAAACAGAAAATAGACAGGTGTGTCTTTTGCAAGTTACACAATCAACAGGTTACACAATCAACTACCCAAGTCATTTTGTGAATCTCATGCTCCAAATGTCTTTTTCTAGTTCATTCTTTCCTTTCACAGAGCTTTTGGGGAACAAGTTTTGGGATGTTCTGCTTGTAACCAATAGTGGGCAGAATCCCACTATATCATTCACCTTGGTGTTCTATGTATTGTAAACCACCCAGGGATCTTTCTGTTACTGGGAGATATATAAATATAAACAAATGAATCAAATGATAAAGAAAAAAGCTTCTGAAAATGTGTGGCTGGGAAAAAAAATAATGCCACATGTTTATATAATGATTTCTTGACTAAGCTTTTGAGCCGGAGGTGTACTGCTAAGAGGGCTGGACTGGGCCTCAGGAGATATGAATTCTAATGCCTGTTGAGTTTGAAACTCATTGAATGATCTTGGGTTAGTCACAGACTCTCAGGTTGCATCACCTCACAGGGTTGCTATGAAGATAAAGTAGAGAAGACTGTATGTGCTGGAGATGCTCACTGGTGAAAAGATAGGGTATAATTATGAGAAATACACTCTTCGCGTTGAGCACTGAACTAGAGTATACTTACGCTTTTTGAAAACAATATAGGTAAAGAATACAATTTGAGTTGCACATCACACCATGTCCTTCTATGGCCAACTAATAACAGCAACCCAATGATCAAGTACATCATTAATAGAGGCATTGTCTTCCCTACATTGTCTTCCTTACAGTACCGCTCAAGCAGCTTGCTTGATAGATGAACCCAAGCAAGCCGGACAATACAAATACCCTGATAAGCTCCCAGGGCAGATCTACGATGCCGACACACAGTGTAAATGGCAGTTTGGAGCAAAAGCCAAACTGTGCAACTTGAGTTTTGTAAAGGTACTATTTTTTTATTATTATTATTTTGGTACTTCCAGACATTGTTAGGACTTGCACAGGGGAATAGCACACAATGAGTTGCAAATACGAATTTATGAATGAGTGGAGGGGTTCCAATAAGCTCCAGGGTCTTCTGTGCTATTTTAAACTGTAAATTGCTTGGCAAAGACATTGCTTGCTTTGAAGGTGTTGGCTTGGATGAAAGTCAAGGTGGTCCAGCATAGCTGCAGGAAAAGACTGTGCTTCCAGGATGTGAAATTTAATTGCAAGGAACATAAGGAGCTGGGGTGGGTGGGGTAGCGAATGCCCAGATTTCATTGTGCATTAAGAATGATTTTAGGCTTCAACCCCTCATATCCAGTTTCCTGAGGATAATCTCCATTGAGTTCAATGGGTCTTATTTTGGAGTACTCATAGAGAAGATTGTGCCATTAAAATGCAGTAATATTTGTACTCTGTATAGTTCTCTGTCACCCATTTTGGCTAGACCTGGAGAGGATTATGTGATTTCTCATCTTAGTTGGAACAACAATATATTTGTGTCAGAGAAGTAACAAGGTTGTCATTCCATGTATTCTTGTGGAAAGCATGGTTTACCAGGACTAGGATGATGTGATATGTTGGCCAGCATCCATAAAGACTTTTGCTATATAAAGCCAAAACAAAATAAAAAATAAAGGAGACTTAAATGTTGCAGCACCTTAAAGACAAATTGCTATATTTTTGTGGACAAGTCCATTTCCTCAGACTAAATAAAATATGTTGCTCTAAAACATTGGTGCCCCGCCTGTGGGCTGTGACACCCAAGGGGGTCGCAAAATGTTTTCTGGGGGGTTGCCATGGACATTTTTTAAAAATAGGAATTTGTTTTTATAGGAAGTTTCACCACAAGGGTTTCCAAAGACTTATATATGGCCCAGATGCAAGTACATTACATTAAATATTAAGTTAGAATTATGTTCTGAAAAATCTGTTTTTTTTTCTTCATGTTTTTTCTTTACCGCATTTTAAAAAAAACTTTTTAATGCAAATATGGTGGGAGGGGGTCACAGATTATTCAGTTAATATAAAATAAGGTCATCATGACTCAAAAAAAAGTTGTGAGAGCCAGTGTGGTGTAGTATAGCAGGCAAGAACAAAAGAAAAAAAATTAAAGAAGACAGAAATGCTGTGGCACCTTAAAAGCAGATTGCTATATTTTAACGTGAGCTTTTGTGGACAAGTCCACTTCCTCAGACTAAATAAACTGTTCCATGATAAAAGGTTCCATGATACTCTTTGGTGTTCTTCTGCCAACGAGTAGCATGGCTACTTCCTTGGAAAGAATGGCCAGAATCCTATTGATGATTAATGCATGTACGAGTCAGGATGGCAAATGGGTGCTGATTAACAGACTGATTGTCATATTTATATTTTATTTATTTATTAAATTTATACCCCACCCATCTAGACATATGTCTACTCTGGGTGGATAACAATAAAAATATAATAAGAACAATATAATAACATCATCATCATCATCATCATCATCATCATCATCATCATCATCATCATCATCATCATCATCATCATCATCATCATCATATTCAAGAATGCATGCCTCTTGTTAATTTGTGGAAATTTATCACTGGAAACTAATGTGATCTAATTAGTACACAAATAGGATTTTACCCAGCATGCTTCCTTTATTGCAGCATTTTAAATGTGATCTAATTAGTGCATGCACAAATCATCAATAGGATTTTAGCCAGCATGCTTCCTTTATTGCAGCATTTTAAGCTAGGGATATATAACTCTAAGAACGTGTGTTGCATCATAACTGAGAGTCAGAGAAGTAGCTCAGGAAGCCTCTAGTCTGAATTTCCCTGCAATGAATTTAGGAGCTTCTCAAAAGTCGTGTGAGGTAGGTCAGGGCTGAGTCCAAGAGGCATAAGGTCACACAGTGACTTCATGATGCAATGGAGTCCACCCCAACACTTTAATCACTGCCCCATTGCCTGTGGGGCAGTGATTAAAGTGTTGAGGTGGACTCCATTGTGGTCAAGAGTTTTGGCTCTTGACCACCACTAAAAAGGTCAAGGGCTTCTTTGACTCATTCAGTCCAATGTCACTGGACAGTGGCTGAGAAGCTTTCCCCTTTCATTCTCTTGAGTCAGCAGGCAATGAGAGACAATTTAAGTGACCCTTGAACCTACAGGTCCTGCCTGTGGATGTTCATCGGAGGAGCTTATTTCCTATATCTAGAGTCCTGCGTTGCTTACCAAATTGTGATTGGAACAATTCAAGCAAAACTGGAAGCACCATCATTTAATCTACAAAAACATAGATTAAAAGGATGTACCTCAAAGCCCACTCAATTTGGTATTGTTAGTTGCTTTGTGTAATTAACATAGAAAAATGAAAGAGACTCCAATTTTTTAAAAAAAAAACATATTAAGCAAACAACTACAAATCTCTACTCTTTTTCTCCTTTGTTGGTTTTGATCTTTTGAGGGTAAAACACATGGGAAATGAAAGTATTGCTGGCAGAAGAGTTTAAGATGAATAACAATGTTGTTGTTGTTGTTTTTTTAAATTATATTTCAGGATATATGTAAATCACTGTGGTGCCATAAAGTAGGCCATCGATGTGAGACAAAGTTCATGCCAGCTGCAGAAGGGACCCCCTGTGGGATAAGCATGGTAAGTTACTAGAGTTATCATCTTCCTTAGGGCTAAGCACCATTGAATGCAGGGGCTTAATTCCAGATAAACAAGAATGGGAACTGGCTACTGGTTAGATCCATAACCTAAGAACAACAGAATTAGCATTGTATTACTCTTGCAAGGTGCACCAACTCAGCCTGGAGGCACCAGCCATGTTTCAAACACATAGGAATCTAGCAGATCAAAAGCCTAGCCTTCTAGCCTAGCCTTCTGCATACCATGCTGTTTCTCTGTGTACAAGGACTCAATGCTAAGTAGAATAAGCATGGAAATATGGGATCACCCTATACATACACACACATACCCGTAGTCAGAAATTGATACAGCTCAGGAGGCAATGGCCATATGTTTCAGCTTATAAACAGTGCTCTGTACCCATTGGCCACCTTTGTACTGGATTCTTGCTTTCACCTCTTGCTGGGTAATCTGATTGGAAATTTTCTCTTCATGAGGAAGAAATTCTGGAGCAGGGAGAAACAAATGAGGAAGAAATTCTGGAGCAGGGAGAAACAGATCCTCACACTGGGTGTAACACATGAAAACAAAACAATAGTCAAGCATTGATAAGGCCACCCAATATCCTCACTTCAGCATAACGTGGTGAAGCATAAATGTTCTTAAAATCCATTGTGCATGGCACTGATCCATGTTATCAACAGCATCCCAGCCATGAGGAGATTAAGATGTTGAGGCCCTAAAGTGTGTCAAGTTTTAAAAGCCCATCAAGTTACAAAATAACATAGTTTTTATTTTATTTAGAGGCTCCCCATAGACATAGAATTCAAGAGCTAGGAGAAACCGCAAGAGTCATCAAATCCGCCTCCTATTTAAAAAGCAAGGGAAAATCCACAACGTAGCATTCCTAGCTGATGACCACCCAGCTTTGGTGAAGGAGTCTCCTTCCACAACAGTCCATTCCACTGCCCAACAGCACTTCTTGGCAGGGAAATCTTCCTAATGTTTAGGCGCAATCTAATTTCTTATAATTAAAATCCATTCTGTAGCTTCCCTCCAGAGCTGCAGAAAACAGACTTTCTCCATCTGCCATGTGACAGGCCTTCCAATATTTGAAGATACTGATCATACTACCTTTCAGTCTTGTCCAGGCTAAACACACCCAGATCTCTAAACTGTAATTAATTTAGCTTGTGCAAAAGTCCAGCACTGATCCAAGCTAATGTCCAGGAATAGACCTATGCATATTCAGGCATATGCATGTCGGATTTTATATGCCGACCGATGCTCATGATCTTGGAGGTAGACTGTTCTCAACAGATAGGCAAGGACAGGAGATGCATTCTTACTCCTAATGGGAGTACTCAAGGATAATGAAGCTGGAATCAAGTAAATTCAAGCATTCAAAAGGGACAAAGAAGGATGACTCAGATCTCTGCTACTAACTCAATTTCTCCTGTTCTCTTCATCCCAATCTTTCAAGAGACATTTGAATCAAGTTTGTTTACAAAAGGGGCAAAGAAGCATGACTCAGATCTCTGCTACTAACTCCATTTCTCCTGTTCATCGCAAACTTTTCAAGAGACATTTGAATCAAGTTTGTTTTTCCCTTCCCACCTCCTCTGACCTTTATCTTCCTTTCCATTCTAGTACATAATTGCTTACATCTGGCTCTTTTCAAATCTTACCCAGACATCTTGGCAAACTGATGAAATATTGGTTTGTTCATGTTCTTTCCTACAGTGGTGTCGAAGAGGTCAGTGTGTAAGATATGGAGACCATGGCCCCAAACCTGTCAATGGCCAGTGGTCCACATGGTCTGAGTGGTCTGATTGCTCCAGGACATGTGGGGGCGGAGTGATGTACCAAGAGAGGCACTGCAACAATCCAAAGTAAGACATTGATACTGAAAAGATATTATCGTTTTCATTATTTGTTATCCTAATGAGAAAGGCACGATGGTAGTTTCAGACTGGGCATGAGAGAGAGAGATTTTATGTGTCTGATGTAATAGAAAAATGCAACGGCTCCCAACCTTGGGTAGCCCATGTGTCCTTGAACTGCAACTCCCAGTAACCGTGGCCTGCATAACTGGTGGTGAAAGCTTCTGAGAACTACAGTCCAAGAACACCTGGATTACTCAAGGTTGGGAACCACTGGTCTAACAGAATGTATAATAAAAATGAGCCATCAAAAATGTTTAAATATATTCATTCATTGTGGGTGTGGAACTCAGAATGTATAACAAAAATGAGCCATCAAAAATGTTTACATATATTCATTCATTGTGGGTGTGGAACTGCTAAAGCTGCTCCTTAAATATCTTGACAATCCTATTAGGGTTGCTGTACGTTGGTTCTGACTTGACAGCACAGAACGACAGCCACTTTTTTCAGGTTCCGGCCAGCCAACGTGCAGAGTATTGTGAGCCAAGGGCTGGAACTGTGCAGCTTAAGGCCCATATGTGCCACCTCAAGACTGTTCTGTGGCCCCCAGATTTCTCCACTGCCCCTCCTCTTTGAAAAATAACCGAGAACTCTATCTCTCGAAGATTCTGGGGCCCAATTCTCCTCTTAAACAAGGTGGGCCACACACATTTTGTTCTACCATGCCAGAAAAGTTGTTTTCCTTTTTAAGGAAGTTCTTCTTCCTTAGTCTGGAAGTGATCTTCTGGTATTGTCATGGCGTTTGCGTGTGTGATCTCTGGCAGATCCGTGGTAACCAATGGCCCTGGGATCCTCTGGCAGTAGAGCTCTAACCAACGTGAGTGGTAACCAAGAGGATCATCTGGCAGTAGAGCTCTAACCAACGTGAGTGTGTAGCACGCTTTCTTCGAAGTTCAATGACACATCTTACATTGTGTCAACTATGTGTGGGGAGGATTACTGTAGAATGCATTTTAACCATGGTCCAGCTGTAATGGGGGGCAACATATTATGCAGGTTTTTTGTTACTTATCTTTCCTTGCTGATTGCTGAGAGGATCATCTGGCAGTAGAGCTCTAACCAACGTGAGTGTGTAGCACGCTTTCTTCGAAGTTCAATGACACATCTTACATTGTGTCAACTATGTGTGGGGAGGATTACTGTAGAATGCATTTTAACCATGGTCCAGCTGTAATGGGGGGCAACATATTATGCAGGTTTTTTGTTACTTATCTTTCCTTGCTGATTGCTGACACTTGTTGTGTTGATTCCTGATATCTGGTGGTGTCTGCTGAGTGGCTGGATAACTCCATGAGACAAAGTTTCTGGTTATGGATCCAGATATTGGGAGTTTGTAGAGAAGATTGCTCTCTGTGTTCATGGGCAAGATGCACAATCTCAGGGTGCCCCCAGAAGAAGGGAATAATACAGTGGTGCCTCACATTACGACGCTAATGTGTTCCAGCGAAATCGCTGTAGAACAAAAACGTCATAATGCAAAAATAAAAAACCCATTGAAACGCATTAAAACCTGTTTAATGCATTCCAGTGGGCTAAAAACTCACTGTCCAGTGAAGATCCTCCATAGGCCGGCCATTTTCGGTGGCTGTCTTGTGAGGAATCCGTCCCAGAAAACAGCGGGGAGCCATTTTATTTACCCGGTGCCCATTTTGAAACTGCCAATCAGCTGTAGGAAAATCGTCATTTTGCGAAGAATCGGTTCCTGAAGCAGGGAACTGATCATCGCAAAGCGAAAAAAGCCTTTTCAGACCATCGCAAAAATGTCGTCATAATGTGGTTTCGTCGTAATGCGGGCAATCGTAAAGTGGGGCATGACTGTAAATCACTTCTGAGTACTGTAGACCTACTGTAGAAAATCCTGAAATGGGTTACCAAAAATCAGAATTGACTTGGTAATATATGAAAGAAAGAAAGAAAGAAAGAAAGAAAGAAAGAAAGAAAGAAAGAAAGAAAGAAAGAAAGAAAGAAAGAAAGAAAGAAAGAAAGAAAAAGAGCTTCTTCAATATCACAACTAATCAAAGAATCCTAGATCCACTTGATTCTTACCGCATGGTGAATGCATCTCCTCCTAGTTTAGAAGAAATGCATTGTCCAAACCCACTATTTCCCTTTACTGTCTCATGTCAAATGATACAATTACGATCTTCTGCTGGGCATAAACAGCCATTCTATAATAAGAATGTCCAATCCAATTGGAATGTGTTGCGCTTATAAGAAATTTGGTTACGGCATTCTGACTATTTCTCAGCGGTAGACATATCCTTATAACACCCAACACCTTTGGAGGTCATTCACAGTACAACCAGGCTATGCAGATTTGCTAAAATCATTATGTTTGTACAAGCTGCTGCAGAATATATTCATGGATCTGTTTTTCATACATCACAACATTTTACAATCTAGATTTTTTTTTCCTGAGAAAGAAATAGATTACATAATTTAATGGCTTGGCTGTAAAGAACATGAAGAGTGCCCAGGAGACGTAAGGTCATAGTTACTCATATCTGTGGGGCTCAGCCTTACCTGCTTCATAATAGCGCATTGTTCTCTCAAACATCAGAATGCAATTGTAGATGTCCATATACTTTAAGAACCTAACCAAGCTACACAATTGTTTCAACATATGTACTTCTTCTATTTCTTGTATGGCTTTGCTTGACGAGTGATCATAACAGTTAAAAATGAAATCTGAGTGCAAAAATATAACAATAATTAATTTAATACTGGAAAGATGGAAGGAGAATGGAACTCAGTAAACCTTTTCTTTTATATAGAAAATATAGAGAGCTTTAATGGCCTGGTCTTAATTATGTTTGCTTTGAAGAAATGTGTTTTTAAAAGTCTTACGTCCACAAGGATGTAAGAAAAACGATGTTCAAGTGGTTCACACTAAATGCCCATCTAGTCTAGATGTGGGTGTGGGTGGTTTTCCCACAGTCCAAGATCCCCATTCCTAAGGAGACCATGTTAACCAAAGGTGTGCTCCCTTGCCCCTATAATAGGCGTTTATTTTGCAAAATACTTTGTAAGAGGAAGGGCATTTGGTAAGAAGTTTGTTTCAATCAGTATCATAGTCTTCAATGCATGGTAAACATGAGAAGATGTCCCAGCTTGTTTTGTAAATATATGACAATAAGAATGCTGATTCTGTACAGAGGGATCTGCAATTGTATTAAACTGCACCTGGATTTCTGTGTTACAAATCTTAGCAAATACTACTTGTGGATTCGATTGAACACTATATTAAGGGATGAACACGAGTGAATGTCATGGACTAAGAGCCTGGTGGATAACTAATCATGGAGGGATTTAGAGATCATTGTGTAAACACTGTATATTAGCTTGAAAACATCCGCCCGCCCATGAGCCATGATGTAACCGGGTGATTTTGTAAAATGTAGTAGGTCCTAGATGAGTCCTAACAAAGCTTTGCTTGGAGATTATTACATGGCATGTGTATATTTAGGAGACATGCTTGGATGGGTGATGACGTTTGCTGAAAAAAAGCTGGAACAAAATTTGTAACGTTTGGTCTATAAATTCATCTTGCAGTCAAACCTCTGAGAGAGTCAGAAACCAATGATTGTATGATTCATAGAAGGCCACTGGCTAGTGATATCAAAATATCTTTGGCCTCTTTGAGCTGCTCCTTTGGTTTTACAGTGCTCTGTGCCACACATCAGAAGGTATGAAATGTGCAGAATCCATGTTTATTTTTTACCTGAAAAACAGCTGTGTGAGCAACCAGATTTGATCAGGACAAAGGTCAGAGTTGACCCTTCTTTACCTCCATGGCATCCATGATCTAAGCAATATCACTGTTGGAACTCAGAATTGCTTTAAGGTGGGAAACAATCTATGCATTTCCCATCCCTCAGCACCACCTCTCAAAAGGAACTGAGACGACATGCTGGCTGCTTTTAGGTCTTGTTTTTTGTTAAGGCCAAAATCCTGTTAGGATTTTACATGCATGGAGAAGGAAAGGCACAACTTAACTGATGGCTAGCTGATACATTTTCATGGCTATCAGTCATTGCACTCCTTATTTTGCATGCAAAGTGCACCCAGCACACATCAAGATCTTTGACTATTAGCTGCAATGAACCACAACAACCTAAGTGATTTTTCTTCTAGCCGTGCAAAATCCCAACAAGATTTTGGCCAGTCGGTTGAAACTGGGTTAGGAAACTGAGACTTTATGCATACATTCCTGTATCTGCATGTATTCAGCATTGTTAAGATCTTGATAATGGAAGGAAAGTTAAACTAGGCCAACATATATGCATGGTAAAGAAGTGCTTTTTGATTGATTCACATCATGGCTGGCCATTTTTCTGCTGTTACTTCAAGTTCACAGATGTTCTAGAGCGCCTTTGACACAAATGCTTTCAGTCTTTCACTGTGTTCATTTATGGAAAAGCAATTTTCTCTTCTCTTTGTAGGCCTCAGTATGGAGGCAAGTTCTGCCTGGGCTCCAGTCGCATTTACCAGCTCTGCAACATTCAGCCATGCCTATCAAATGGCCCCGACTTCCGTGCCCAGCAATGTGCGGAATATAACAGCAAACCTTTCCGGGGATGGTACTACAAATGGAAACCCTACACAAAAGTAGAAGGTAACTTGATCCCACCACCAGCAGCTAATTTTCTTGTACATTTTATATAGCTTATTGAAGCATTGCATAACAGACTTGCAAACTCGTTTATAGAGGATTTTAAAAAGTCAAAGTAAAATATTATTTAAGGGACGTGGTGGCGCTACGGGTTAAACCACAGAAGCCTCTGTGCTGCAAAATCAGAAGACCAGCAGTCATAAGACCGAAACCATGTGACGGAGGGAGCTCCTGTCGCTTGTCCCAGCTCCTGCCAACCTAGCAGTTCAAAAGCATGTAAATGCGAGCAGATGAAGAGGTGCCACCTTGGTGGGAAGGTAAACAGCTGTCTAGTCGTGCTGGCCACATGACCACAGAAACTGTCTTTGCACAAATGCTGGCTATATGGCTTGGAGATGGGGGATGAGCACCGTGCCCTAGAGTTGGACACGACCGGACTAAATGTCAAGGGGAACCTTAAGTGATAGAAAAGTAAGAAAATACTTAAGAATCACATGGGTAATTCGAATCCTTATTTGACCATGCACATGCTCAATAAATAATGTAAATAATGTGAATGGCTAAAAATCCATCTTTTTGTCCAGCCTTAGAATACAGGCACTTTTTACATTTGTTTTATTTATTTTATCTTACCAGTTTCTCTTCTTCATGTGTGTTTTGTATTGGGCTTTGAGTTACGTACGTTGCTAATTACCTGGAGGGTTTTCAGCCTAAAAGCTCTGTGGCGGTTTTATCTAAAGTAGCCTTAGTAAATCTGTAGGCTTTATATATTATGCTGATTTACCTGCAATTGAGTCAGGAGGTCTACCCAGCAGAGTTAGGCATTTTGGAGGGGGAGAAGGGTGGAAGGATCAAATCATATTTAATAATAAGGCAAATACATTATTTCCATTTTGAAATCAAATTGCTGAAGGAAAAGTTGTGCAGCTGCCATCTTTGCAAAGGGCAGCCTGGATTCCCTTAGCCTGCCTTAAATACCTGGGGGGAGCTTTCCTGGGGGGGTCCTCTTTGTGACTATATAACTCAGAGGTTCATGATCCAATGTTCACCAAACTTTCAGGAGTTGTACAAAAGTGTCTGAGGATGCTTCCCTGCAAATATGGTGCCTCTAGGACATTGGGGGCCAGTGTTATAGCGGTTTAAAGTGCAGATGAATCAACAGATCGATTTGTCGATTTGTCAACGAATATTCGTATATCCGTATTCGTTGACAAATAACGGATCAAAACGAATTGCCATTTTTAAAAAATTTGTCCCCATCTCTTGACTTATTATTGCATTTCATGGAAATACTTTCCACAATCAAGGTGCCACCCTAGCAATGTAGCCATTATATGGATCACCTTGTTGGACAATTGCACGTAAGGTACTCAGATGCTGAATAAACTTTCAGGAAATTGCTCTGCTTTACTCAGTCTCCAGACAGGGAGGGAAATCTCAGGGTGAGTAGCACTAGAGGAGGGCAAAGCTTAATTTTAATGTGTGAGATTTCATTAAAGCCTGCACGTTCACTCCCTCTCTAGCAGCAACTGCTGCTATTGTTAGGAAGAGCACTGACCTGACAGCCCTGTCTAGCACACGCCAAGACAGAGGATTATATTAATAGCCATTCTTCTGTGGGAGAAAGTAGTTTTATAAGAACCTTACATTAATCTCAATCTAGGACCTTAGCGATCAAAACCAGCACTTTGATTTATATCCAGAAATAAACTGTAAAACAGATAAGTTATTTTAAGCATTTCCATTTCTCCGTCTGTGCAGGAACAGTATGGTTATCTTTAAAATGTATTCCTTCCCCTCCCTTTGACTTTTAATCCTCTGTGCTGCCCACAGTCTCCGAGACAGAATATCAATGGCATGCACACACACACACACACACACACACACTCTGTCCAAAACTGGTCCCATACTTTTCATGTTTTTTTCCCCAGAGGAAGACCGATGCAAGCTTTACTGCACTGCTGAAGATTTTGACTTTTTCTTTGCCATGTCCAACCGAGTGAAAGACGGAACCCTCTGCTCCCCATATAGAGATGATGTGTGCATCGATGGAGTTTGTGAAGTAAGCTAAACATTCCCTCCAAAGCAAAGGTTTTTGGCTCCATGGTGAAGGACATGTTTTTCACGAAGAAGGTCCCAGGTTTAACCTTTGCCCTTTATAGTTAAAGGATCTCAAAGTGCAGGGCTGGGAGAGATGCTCACCACAGAGGAGAAAGAACTTCTGCTAAGTAGACTCCCTGACTGGATAGATCAATGGACTGGGCCAGGATTGGGCTACTTGACAAGCAGAATAGACAGATCGGTCAACTTTTACTTCTCCCAGTTTCTCATTTTTCCAATGTTACAGTGGTGCCTCGCTTAACGATTGCCTTGTTAAAAAAGAAAACCACCATACGATGACTGTTTTGCGATCGCTTTTGCAATCACAAAACGATGTTTTAATAGGCAAAATCTGCTTTGCGATGATCGGTTCCCTGCTTTGGGAACTGATTCTTCGCATTATGACATTTTTAAAACAGCTGATCGGTGGCTTCAAAATGGCCGCCTGCTGTGTAAAATGGTTACCCGCTGTGTTTTTGGACGGATTCCTCGCTTTACAGTCACCGAAAATGGTCACCCCTAAGAAGGATCGTCGCTGGACAGTGAGTTTTTTAGCCCATTGGAATGCATTGAACGGGGTTTCAGTGTGTTTCAATGGGATTTTTTATTTCGCTTAACGAGGATTTTGCTCTACAGTGATTTTGCTGGAACGTATTATCCTCGTTAAGCGTGGCACCACTGTATATTCATTTCATCATGGATAAAGATGGACATCTATTGGAAAACCAACAGTTCTATCCTTCTGGAGGTTGGTAAAATGATACTAATCAACTTAGTGCTATAAGCACCATGGGGTCTTATATAAGCAGCACACTTTGCTTTAGCTATAAGCACCATGGGATCTTATATAAGCAGCACACTTCGCTTTAACTTTTTGATTGAGCATATTTATTACAAAATCTGCAGAAGTGTGAATTTCGGTAATAGTGGTTCTATGTGCTTGTTTGTTCAAAAGTGTAATGTTAAGTATGCTGGCATTAAAATATTGGGCAAATTATTTCTCTTCCATCCATGTTCATAGTGTCATTTTAAAAGGAAAAACAGCAATGACATACAGCTGACCTTCCCTGCGAAGAAAGGAGAATACTGTGTTCCCTTTCAGACATTGACATTGGCTTTCTTTATTGCAGCCAGTTGGATGTGACCATCAACTTGGATCCAAAGCTGTTCTGGATTCTTGCGGAATCTGTAAAGGAGATAATTCTACATGTACGTTCTTCTCGGGCCGTTATTTGACACAGCATAAAACTAATGGTAAGAGAAAACACATTTCTTGTGGCACATAAGTCAGTTTTCCCCCCCTCCAGAATCTCTTCTTTCAATATAACTGCTTGTACTTCATGATTCCAGATGTTGAAAATGGAGATAAAGATTAGAGGTGCATATAGGAATTGTATATTGTTTCGTATTTTTATCTCATTTTCTTCGGTTCTAAAGAAATTGAGAGATAAAAATCATTTTTATGGATGATAAAGGACCCTCCAAGGACTCGGACAATTACAGTATAAAATAAAAGAATGCATTTTTTCTCTACTGACCTGGTTTACACTAAAATCAGAAGATAGAATAGTTAGGAAGAAAGAATAAAACATCAGCAAAAGAGGATATAGTAACCAGCAGCACTAATTGATATAATCATAGGCTACCAATTCTTCCTGACTTTCCACATTCAGAAAAGGAATACTGTAGTACAAATATGGGATCATCCAAAAAAGCCAGTTTTCACATGTGTGTTTGCACTGATGTATATCTGGCAACTGAATACACAGACTAACTCCATGTGTTAAAGGAACTGGGTGGGATCTGGACCAGAAATGTAAAAAGCACTAACTAAAATAATCACTGTCATCAATTTAGGCTGTCTTGATACAATGAGCCACTTTGATGTGGAACATTTAAGCTTCTTGAGATTCCTCCATTGCAGAACAAGAACAATATAAGGAGTTATTTTTTTTTCTATCAGTTTCTGTACAATTTGCACAATATGTCCCAACACAAAACTGGCGGCCCTCCCATTTGAGAACAGACCACGCACACAGAAAACATAGAAGGTTTTTGTTTTAAAACATGCAAGCAAACAAACAAAAATCTGTGAAACCAAGTGGTGGCTATCATACACTTTTGTGTAGTTTGCCTTATTAAGTTGTTTCCATAAAAATCTATCTAATGAATGTGAAAGGCTCTGACACAGAAAAGAGACATGGCTTGGGAGGTAGCAGACCCTCCTGTTGAGGTCCCCGCTGTCTTCCGGCTCAGAAAAATGGGTCCAAGTTGCAAGTCAAGTCAGAGTCTTTTTTTAAAAAAGTCCAAGTCAGGTGAGACTTACGTCAGACTTGATTGTGAGTCATGAGTAGAGATGGGCACGAATCAGAAAAATAGTGATTCATTTTGATTCATGATTCATCAAAGTCAACAAATAAAGAATTACAAATGCATGGTTTTTTATTTTTATTTTAAAATACTATAAAACTCTTTGCCAAGCTCCTAGAGATACACCTTCCCCTGACTCTCCTCCATAAGCCCTGCATGTTTGGTGAAGTTTGGGACCTAGAGATACACGCCCTGCATGTTTGGTGAAGTTTGGGTTTTGGATGTCCGAGTTAGTCACCCACAAGGAGGGTCCCCCCAGGAAAGCGTCAACCACAAGGAGGGTCCCCCCCCCAGGAAAGCTCTCCCTAGGCACCTAGAGACACCAAAATTACAGCCACACCAAAATTACAGAGAAGCTTCAACTGCCTCTTCTCTGCAATTCCTACAGGTTTGGTGAAGATTGGGTTTTGGGTATCCAAGTTGTCCATCCACAAAATGGGTCCCCCCAGGAGAAAGTGCCCTTTAGCAGCTGGCTTGGGGAAACCTAGTCTTCACCAAACTTGGACGGATTGTGTAGGTGCATCAGTAGAATCTTCTCCGGAATTTGGTGTCTCTACGTGCCTGGATGAACTATGCAAGGAGTGCTATTTGTGGGTGTATCAGAAATTCAATCTTCACCAAACTTAGAGGGATTGTAGAGCAATGTCAGGTGAAATATCCCTGCAATTTTGGTGTCTCTTGGTGTCTAGGATGGCATTTTATAACCAAATGAATCAATGGGTCAAAATTGCCAAAAATTCATTGATACATATTCGTTGGGGGCATTGAATACAAATTGACAAATTAGCAGTTTTTGAACAAACTTGGTGATTTGTGTTTTTTTAAAAAATTCATGTCCATCTCTAGTTACGAGTCATGAGTCCTCATCCCTGCAAGCAGTTATAAGTGAACTAACAGAAGTTAGGTATTATTTTGGTCCTTCTCTTGAACTATGTCTATGTAACTGTATCTGCAGGAATATTTCCGAAGGGCAATGCTGCATAAGGGTACACGTTATATTCACTTAGCACTATAGCCTACATAGTGCTTCTGTTTGCACAGATTAAAATAATAATAAATTTAGGATTCAACAATTGGAGACATGTGTTTGGTCATATAATATCTGTGTATTTGTGAGTGGGAAACATAGAACTCATATAAGTACTCCCTTGACTTATTTTCATGCACAAACTCCAAAAACACTGTATGTTTCTCCTTGCCTGTGAATTGGCAAGAAGAATTTCTGCTACCCTCAACAAGAATCACCACATTTGTGAGAATGATACCTATACAAATTGTGGGCATTGCAGAAAAAAATGTAGGAATGGCAAGCAATCTTGTTCATGGACTTCCACATCCTTCTTTCATGGACTTCTACAAACGTCAGGCATTTAGTGGGTTGGTCACATCCTTTTGATCTATCAGACCGTCCTCCTGTACTTCCTCTGTGTGTGCTTAGCTTCACAAGGTTCCGGCTGCACGAAGGACGTTTCAACGTCCTTGAACTGCAGGACCGGGTTTGCCCTCCTCGGATCCGGAGGACGCGAGGCAAGCTCTGGTCATGTGTAAAGAAGGAGGGGGTGAGCAATTATTTAAAGGAATGGGCGCCCCCGACGCATCCTTTTTATTGTTCGGGCACCCACTTGCCTACCCTCTTTCTAGTGTGACTTTGGTTGTCTTTATGGGGCCGGATAGGAATTTTTGACCTTTATCCTGATTGGCTATTGGATAGAGGGATTTTTCGCCTATCCCACCCTGGAGAAGGGTTATTGCCATTTGATTAGTGGTTATTCCTGGTCACACTGGCGGGTAGTGCGGGGAAAAACTGGTTGTCTCGGTGTGTCCCTTTGATAATTATGCTAAGCCAACAGCGCATCCGACCTCCCGGCTCTGTGGATCATGAGATTACAGGGCCGGCGGCGGGAGATGTGCTGGGCCACTTTCGGACTGACAGTCATCAAATAAAGATGGCTCGAGGTCTGGGGTGTTTAATAGAAGTCGCCCGGGTTCCTGCTGTCATAAAGACCGCTGGAATCTGAGGCCTGGGACTCGCCCTGCATTTATTTCTCCGCACCTGGGGTGTTTAATAGAAGCCGCTCGGGTTCCTGCTGTTGTCAAGACCGCTGGAATCTGAGGCCTGGGACTCGCCCTGCATTTATTTCTCCGCACTGCCGCAGGCCCCCTCATTTTATGAGGACAATGATATCTATAATCAGAATTGATTTAATAAAGTGTGGCCCATATTTAATCCATATCACTGTCTCGCATCTTCATTTCGGGACCTGGGAGGGCAAGCAGTAAAAGCAGTTATTGCAATATCTTTGGTGATTCCACTATTTCAACTTTTTGTCTCGACCTCACTCGGAGGGTAGCAGTTTTTGAGGGGCAGTCTTGACCTGCTGACTGTGGCATCAAGGACAAGTAATCTTTTCAAGTAGCTTTCCCATCTCTACATCTTGAGACATGGTACCACAACAGACTTCAGCAAAGCGGTTGAGAGACTGAACTCTGTTCAAGAAAGCCCTGGTTCAGGCTTTGCTTTTGCCATAATTCAAAAGATGATCGTTGCTTGAAACATTCTATTCTGCTGAATTTCTCTTCAAATTTTGGAACTATTTACGAGGGCAACAAAGGATTATGTTGTAATTTGGGATTATCGTTATAAATATTCACAATAGATAAACCCTCGGGCTGTGTCACTATTATGAAAAGAAGCCACTCAAATTACAACGGGAATGAAATACCACACTTTATTTTTGGGCCCCTTTCAGATTATTACCACATTGTGACGATTCCAGCAGGAGCTCATAGTATTGAAATCCAAGAACTTCAGATGTCCACCAGCTACCTTGCAGTGCGGAACTTGAGCAAGAAATATTACCTAACAAAAGACTGGACCATCGATTGGCCTGGGAAATTCTATTTTGCTGGGACAGTGTTTGACTATCAACGTTCTTTTAACCATCCGGAAAGGATCTCTGCAGCTGGACCAACAAATGAGACACTCGTCTTTGAAGTAAGCTTCCTTCTCCCCATTTTATTCTTGCTGTTTCAGAATTCACATTGCTATTGCTCACTGAAACATCTGTGCCACAGAGTAAATGTACAGAAGAGCAGTGACTTATGGCCCTGTGTGGGATTGATTGGAAAGCGATGTTCCTTGGTGGAGTGGTAAATTTAAGTGTAGGTACTGATCAGAGAAGTCCCTAGAGCCATATCATAATGGAGAATCCAAACCTGCAGGCAGCTGTATTGATTCATACCAATAAACCAATCCTAGAAGTAGTCAGTTCCACCAGGAACAGATTATTTGTAAAACTAATGGGTCTTATTTACCCAACCAAGGCCAAAACACTGCAGAAGGGACCCACCTTACAACAATAGATTGCTGTGGGAAAAATCTTTTTTCTTTAACTTCAGATACACTGAGGATTGCAGCAAAACTGAAAGGAGAAAGGGTGTTCCTAGCAGCGGGGGGAAGGGGTCTGGCATAAGATGGCTTGGATCCAATGGGACTGCTCATATAATGGATCACAGCATGATGGTTTTGACATTCTCAGGGATCCTGTATGCAAATATCCAAAGAATTTCTGTTGGGCTAGAGAAAATCAGCAGGGTGAAAGAAGCATGGCCAGGCTTCATCTGAATTGGGATTAAAAATTGAGTAAAACCACTAGGAAAAGCCAATTTTAGCCAAAATAAAGCAAAGTCAATACAAATCAATAGTGGATGCTTTCCTAGGCATGCAGTACTGCTTGTCTGGTTTTAAAAGTCCATGAACTCATGCTGGTCTTCAGGTGCCTTGACCAGCGGTATCTTACAAAGCTCAGAAAAAAATCAAGACAAGGCCATATGATCCTCAAGACAATACAAATGCAGGAATAGGTGATGCCTTTATTGGGCCATTAACAAATTAAAACAGTAGGATTCAGGCTATTATGTATAGCAAACTAAGTGAGAGTTTACAGAAGCCTGTAGAAAATGATATAACAAAAGCACAGAATCACGGTAGTTAATTCTGAATATAACTCTGCAAAAGAGGCAGATTCTGGCAAGAGGAGAGAAGAGGAAATAAGGCCAAAGCATGTGATAGGATGATGATCATCTGGAACTGTAAACTAATCCCAGCTTTTAGCATATGGTTTTAGTAATATCATTGTGTCGTCTTAAATGAAGACAGGCAGGAGGCTTTTAAAAAAAAATCATAAATCTAGTTTACAATTGGTTAGCTCAAGACTTAAACATTTTGTTAGGTACTAATTAGCTTAACACTGAAACGTTTTGTTGGGATTCCGGTGTAGGTCGTTTAAGGCCATCTGGTTTAAATCTGCAGAACTTGTTCAAAGAAATGCAGGGTAGTGATGGATTTTGACAGAAAAGACTTTAGTGCAGGTGCATCATTGCTTGAACTGGAGCTTAGAGAAATCAAGGCATTAGAAAGTCAATTGAAGGGGCAATCGACATTGGACTCATACTACTTTTTTTTTCCTCCCATGCCTACCCCCCATCTGTTTGTGAAGTAAGATTTGTAGGGATTTCTCATTTCCTTTACTGTTGTCTGGAGTGCCTGACTTTTCCCAACACTGCTGAACAGAAGTCACCAAAGTGACAGAAGACAGATCTGTCTCTCCAGTTTCCCATAGTTTGAGGTTGTGGGTTGGGAAGGTTTGATAATATTGACCTTAGCGGGTGTATATGTCTTTTAGTTTGATGAGGACGGCAGTGGTGATTTCTCTTTCTGACCTGTAAGGTTGCTCGCTGACGAATTGATGAAGGAAGCAATGTGGTGATAAATATGAATTTAAAAGTATTGTTTGTAGGTCTGTGGATGTGTTTTTCCCCCCTCTTTCCCATGTACCATTGTTGGCGCCCACTTTTGAAATGGATGTTTGTTGTCTTGTTTGTGGGATCTGATTTTGAGTGTTCTGTGGGGCTTCATTGGGTCTAGCACTGGAAACAGAGTGGTAGAATATACCAGGTGGGCGGTCTGTTGTCTTGTTTGTGGGATCTGATTTTTTTGAATGTTCTGTGGGGCTTCATTGGGTCTAGCCCTGGAAACAGAGTGGTAGAATATACCAGATGGCCGGGATATAAATCGAACAAATAAATGAATAAATAAAAATAAATAAACTGGAATGAGGACACAGAAGCAAAAGGGCACTTTCCGGTTTACCAGACAAGTTTATGCCTGAAAGGACTCAAAACCAAGAAAAAGGAGCCTTCTGAAATGAAAGGAAGACTGGATTTTTCCCTCTGCACATCCCTGCTGGAAAATACTCTTTAGTGTCAGCGTAATACTGGATGGGCAAGCTCTAGATGTCTAGAAGATGATTTGTTCTCCCTAGGATCTGCTCTAGGCTTCCTAACCCTGCTTTCCTATCTCCTGCATTCCCTGCTTGCAGGTTTCAAGGTGTTTATATGTTTTAAAAATTAGTTCAGCTAAAAAACACAATAAATTCCAATATCAAAATAGTGTCAAGGGCAATGGAATACAAGGGAACAGGTAAAAGCTGGAATGGAATGAACAAGAATGGGCACTTTATAGTAAAGATGATGCCCAAACTGTCAGGATATAATGGACCCACTTCAAAAAAAAATATTTAGAAATAAAATCACATATTACTCCTTTGTTAGCTCTCTAATGTCCCCAAACCAGTTGGAACAGAACAAAATAGCTAGGAAGAGCAACCCTGAATAAAACAAGCCAAACAAGTTTACTTATCACACATGATTGAAATAGCTACAGGGAGAGCATTGAGGTTGGTTGGTTTTTGTTGTTCAAATATTGCTGCCAAAATCATTTGGGAGGTGGCTGGGTTTTTATTTAGCTTTCTAAGACTGCAACCTGTTTGAGAATTGATGGAAACAATACAGCCTTTGACAAACATCCTTTGATTTGTATTCTGCATTAAACAGGGAGTTGGATGTGATGGCCTTTATAGGCCCCTTCCAACTTCATGTTTTTATTCTAACGCTGTCTGAAACAGAACAGAAGAATTAGAAAGTCCCCATAAAACTAAGAGGTGTTTATCTCCACTGCAACAGGTAAAAGATGGACAATCACTCCAAAGAAGCAGAAGGAACTTCTCTTCAAAGCAGGAAAAGGTGGCTAATTAAATTGATAAATCATTTCCCCGACCTTTTTTAAATCCAAAAAATGGAGGAATCAACCAGGTGGAAGGACTTTGCTGATAATTTAGTGGCTGCTGGGTGAAAGCCAGCTTGGCGTTTGAAAGCTTTACTTTTATTATTTGCTACCAGATGATAAATTCACTCTGATTTCTCCTAAAGAGGGTGTGTTGGACCAAGCAAAGCCCTGCTTATGAGATACAGATGTAAATTCAATGTAAGGGATAAAAGGGTTCCACTTAAGTAAAAGAGATTAGATGAGATGCATCCTTAAACGGCTGTATTTGAGCACATGATGTTTACTGAAAAGAGAGTGAAAAATACATACCATGACAAATATAAGCCAGCTAAGGCAGGAATGAGATCATAGGAGGATTTTTCAAAGGTACATTTGCTCATCCATGCCTTGGTAGGATTATGTGCGCTCAACATGTTCATGTCATTTAAAGACTGCTTTTAAAATGCTTTCTAGAAAATCCAAGGCATTCAACCCTCAATAGGTTGAAGTCCAGAAATACTTTTGTATGGACAAACCAAAATCACTGTTCTTCACACAATCCAGCATGAGACATCTGAATCTCATTTCTCAGAACATGCCCCCTAATCATTGTGCAAAGACCTTCTATCCTCTAACTTCTGTGCCCCTTAACAAATAATACCTAGTCCAAGAAGCAAACATATTTTCTGCAGCAGCAAATGAATAGATTCAGATTACAGTGATGCCTCGCATTGCGATGTTAATTCGTTCCAGCGAAATCGCTGTAGAACGAAAATGTCGTAATGCGAAAATAAAAAGCCAATTGAAACGCATTGAAACCCCTTCAATGTGTTTCAATGGGCTGGAAACTCACTGTCCAGCAAAGATCTTCCATAGGGTGGCCATTTTCGGTGCCTGTGCAGCGAGGAATCCATCCCAGAAAACAACGGGGAGCCATTTTATTTACCCGGTGGCCATTTTGAAACTGCTGACCAGCTGTAGGTAAATAGTTATTTTGCGAAGAATCGGTTCCCGAAGCAGGGAACCGATCATCGCAAAGCAAAAAACCCCTATTCAGACCATTGTTTTGCGATCGGAAAAGCGATTACAAAAACATTGTCGTAATGTGGTTTCGTTGTAATGTGGGGCAATCGTAAAGCAGGGCACGACTGTACAAGAAAGGAGATTTTGACTAAATGTTAGGAAGAACTTCTGAGCCATGTGCACCACTATCCAAACAACCACCACTTCCCTTTATTAAGTTTGGGGCTGCTGTTTAATCTGTGAATAGGTATTTCTTCTCCTGGATTGTCCTTCTCACCTGGCAAATAGCCAGTGTCCCATTTTACACTGGTGTTCGAACACCGATGAAGGAATAGGAATGCAACTTGTGCTGGATACTGTTTCACTGCCCTTGAAACCTCAGATCTGCAACTTGGGTGTATTCCTGGATTTATCCCTGAGCCTGGATGCCCAGCTATTGTTGGTGGCCCAGAGTGCATCTGCACAGCTAAAACTGATGCACCAGCTCTGCCCGTTCCTTGAGATGTCTTGATTTCTCTACCTTGACACATACCTTCATTATATCCAGTTGAATACCCATCTCTTCCGGCAAATTTTTAATAACTGAGTCTCTGGTTGCTGGGCTTTACTTTTGTAAATTGCTTTTTAAAAAGTTTAACATGTTTTCATATACTGGATTTTAATTATTACAATGTAATTGCTTTTTGATTTGTCATTTATTGTGGTTTTAATATTGTGACCTACATTGGGTCCTCTCACCAGGGAAAAGGGGGCATATAACTGATACAAAAAAAACCCTACTGCCAAAGCTAACAGATGACTTTACTCTGTCCTCTTAAAAGAGGTGTGAATGCTTATTGTGAAATACACAGCTATAGTTATTTTGGTAACACTACATTAACTGTGAGGCTTGGCACTGTCAAGCAGTACATGTGGATATATTGTCTTGTGACTGTTGTCCTCAGAAATAATAAATAGGATTTGTAAATCAAAAGAGAAGTTTATTTTAAGAACAAACACACAATGGAGCAAGAAGGTTCAGTTAACAGGTAAAAACAAACTCTATGAGCAGTGTTCAAGCTGTCATGTTCTTTATCATACATCCATAAGGTTTTACTTTACCTTTTGTGGATTTAAACACTTTCAGTCCTTTATATATATTGATAAAAGGATACTTGTTTTGACACAGGTTTCAACAAGACCAGGCTGTTATTTTCAGCTTCTTCAAAAAACAGCTGTTGTTCACCTCTAACTAACAGCATTAACCCTAACACATAGTTCTTATTGAATCCAGCTAACTTATAATTAACTGAAATCTCTATTTCACTCTCTCACACATCATTATATACATTTTTTCCAGGCAAAAATCTTACCAATGAATCAATTCCCAGTTCCATTCCTGAATATTCTTTCACATCTCTCAACTGCTGTAACTGTCAGCTAGTAATCTAAAAATCAGATATTTTTGACCATTTCTCCAATCATAGGTATGTCATTTAAACCAATGGGGGCTTCGTTTTTTAAAAATTGTATCCCAAATAGCAGTAGCAAGAGTATACAGTATGCATCATTATATGGGGGCTTCATTTTTTAAAAAAATGTATCCCAAATAGCAGTAGCAAGAGTATACAGTATGCATCATTATTGTACTTTCCATTTTGGCATGCCCTCTGTCATGTGGTCTTCAATTTTTAGCGGATTTTTTTGGGCCATTCATTACAGGTTACTAATTTTATGGATATCTCTTGCATGTTTGCTTATCAACAATTAAGTAAACTCGTGTTAGACTTTGTCAAAGGCTGTCAATAAATGAAATATACATATCCGCATTTATGACACAGAACCTTTGCCTAAGTACCTGTATGCAGAATCTGAATCCAAGGTGAAATCCGTGCCTCTTCACACTTCTTGCAAATTCTGCCATTTTTACTTCTAAGAAAACCTCAAGAAAATTCAGCAGCTCTGAATTCTTCATAGGTTTTTTCTATGCTTTTTTTTAAAAAAATCTTCATTAGGGCACATATGTGTACAATATTGTTGTTTGTGCCATTTCCCTTTGGTTGGACAAGCATTAGTTGATCTCACTGTGGAGTGAAATTTGTAATGGCATCACTTTCTTATTTAGTTATTAAGACTGCAGCCCCACAATGGTGCTATATGTCATTACTGCCAAGTAAAATATAATATGCCTAGTATCTATGCCAACAAATTTAATGTACTCCAGCAATCTTGAGAATTCATCCTTCCATTTTGTTTACTGTACTGAGCCTCCAGTATAATAAGTTGTAGCACTAATGGCTAGATACATAGTTATTTCAACAAGGATCCATAGGAAATTGGCAGTCTGAAGTAAGAGACATAGTAGGAAGCTAACGCTCTAAAGAAAGTCCATTGAAAGCTGACAATCTAACAAATCTGTTGACTTGCACGGAAAAGAAATTGCCCTAATGATGTAATCAGAAACAAAGGAATTGTTCACCTGACCCAGAAATGGGGAGATAAACGAAACAAAGAAATAGATATACAGGTGGTTTAGGGTATATATTATTTTAACTATGAAATCAAAATTAGCAGAAAAAGAAAAGGGACTGTTTACTTAAGAAAGTTCAGTTTGGCTGTTGTTTAACTTTCTTTTGCCCTGAGCGATGTTTTGTTCTTCCAAATAGATCTGGCAGATCTTAGTCATAGAGTCTGTGGTTTCTGAATGTACAAAGCAGTAAATTTTATAACTCTGTGCCCTGTGGTTAAAAGCTGCCGAGTGTTGTGTCTGAAGTCAGGTGGTTGGTGAGTTTAAGGTAGGCATTAAGGACCTGGAAATGTTTAAGGAGAATTTTTTTTTCCCCAGCTGTAAATTTGGGAGCAAATGTCAGTTGGCCAGAGTATTTCTGGAAAGTATCCAGTGAAGAAGACTGAAGCAGATTTGTAGGTTTAATAACATGATGACGTTCGCCAGCGGTAGATCGAGGATTGCTGTGGAAAAGCTTCTTTTCAAGCGAATGTTTGACACTATTGTCAGAAGAGATAATATTTAATATTCTGAGAGTTCTTGTCACTTTGGGGATGAGAATGACACCTTGGCAATAACTCTGCCTTCATAATGGAAAATAAATATTATGCTATATTTTGGATGTAACTCAAAGTCAATTCAGGTTTCTTACATTGCACTATGCTCTACTGTTTGGCAAGACACCAATTTTGTGGTGATGGCGAGGCCTCTGGGAGTAACTGCCTGAGGTATATAGATTCTCCATCAGCCATTGATGATTTATTGCTCCATAGAAAAGAATTAGGTGTCTTTCCTTTTAAAAAAATCCACTGAAGGCTATTGAGAATCATCTCTGGCTGGCACTGCTTGACCTATGAAGATCATAGAAAGCATTTTGACATATCATGGAATAACTATGACTGTGAACGATTATGTAGAGGAAACATGGCGCCAGGAAGGGACAGTCTCGTGTTTGTGGGAACCATCAGCAAAGAGATTCTACATAAATATCCCAGCAAGATTGTTTATCAGTGATGGCAGATGGTGGAATATGGATCCTGTCCCTTCAGTTTCCCAGAGTCCCAGTTTTGGAGACCTTGTGAAAAATTATGCCATTGATGGCCTTCTCCTTGACAGAAACTGCAGTGAAATAATTGTTGCAGAGTTTCAAATTTCTCATAAAATTCTTTAGGCTACACAGTAGAAATACAGTACAGAGATTCACAGAGAAGAATAGCTCAGGTTCCCCAGATTATTCTCCTTTCTCATTAACTGGTAATTAAGGTCCCGATAACTCACTCTAAGATGTCCAAAGGAGAAAGAATAGAGTGTTTCATTACTGTTGTGAACAGACCAACAGCAAACAGACTTTGACTTGCAGCAGACTAAAGAGAGGGAAAGGAACACTCAGCAGAGAGGTGGGTCTCTCTTTGAATTCATAGGCAGGAGGGAATGATTGGTGAGTACTGGATAAATTGACAGATACCCCAGCCAAGAAAAGCCCCTCCCAGTCACCCTAACCATAGGCAGCATGTGTGGTTATAAAAATTCCAGCAATGATGTCTGATATCTGTGAATGACTGATTTTAGAATCAGCATGGGCAAACTACATGGTTATAGAGTAGCACCAGAAGGGTAGGATAAACTCCTTCTGAGTATACTTAAGAAAATCTGAGAAGATCCCCAGTGGTCAAAATTCATTTGGTGACATAGAATTATTGCAGTTTATGGTTTATGATGTACGGTTGGATTTTCTTTTTGCTACCATTATCATTTTTCTCCACACGTTTCTCTCACAAATCTATATGATATATACAAGTTTATTTTCAATGCAGGTGCATGCCAAAGAGAAACTGGTTGTGCCTTCAGCACCTTAAAAATATCATAAATTGTTTCATATTTACCTAATATTGGGTGTTTATCAGCCCTAGGTCATGCAACAAAGCAGAAAGCCAAGCTTTTATTTTTGGGGAAGGATGCATATTGCTGGAGTCAGTTGTATATTTCTAGCTTTGATCTCTATCAGAAGTCTTGGATTGAAATCTAATCTAACTAATAGGATTGGAAAATAAATTGCCCCCTGTTATATCTTTTCTCCCATCAAATACATTTTCTATAAAGTATCATATCTTTTGTCTGTTTCATGTTATTGGCGTGGAATTTATGTCAACTTTTGTTGATGTTTCTCATTGCCATGGCTGGTCGCTTCTCACTCTCTGTTCTATGCTTTCTAAAAAAATTTTAATTCATAAACAGCTAAATCCCTTTCCGGTCTTAAAAATAAGAGTGGACTTTTGAAAAAAAAAATTAAGCCATGTTGGTGATTTTTCACTAGCTTTTCTCTTCACTAGTCCTGCGATAAAACTTGCATCTCTCCCTAGATTTAATCAAGGTAACATTTGGTTCATATTGGCAAACCCCCATAGAGTATTTCCTTAATGTCCACTGAGATAGTTTTAAAGTACATAGAGTTCACACTTCCATAGGTTGATGATCTTATGGGGAGGTAAATTTAATCACAGGTTGCTGTGGAGTAGCATGTGGGGTTTGACAGCTAATTCCACATATTTTCTGACTAATGTATTTGTTTTCTGCTGAACATTTATGAAATGTGGTTTGTTAAAGACTGTAATGTGACAATTCTTGGGAAGTAAAATTATATTGTATATCGAATAGTACAAATGCAAGCATTTGTATTAGAGAAATCAGTCCTGCTGAATTATGCTGTTAACTGGCCTCATCAACACCTTCTAAAACCATGCATCAATTAGAATTCAGTTATCCAGTGGTTTTTACAGTCTAGACTGCATTAGAATGTATATTAATATCAAAAGACAACTGAATATATTTATCGGTGTGTTAATCATTATCATCTTAGAATCTTAGAACTATAGAGTTGGAAGAGCCTCTATGTATCATTGAGTCCAGCCCCCATTTAGGAGGCTGGACTCCAAGGGAGTTTGATTGGGGAATCGAACTCCCAACCTTCAGCTCCACTGCCAGAGACCTAAACCACCAAATTATCCAGCAGTTCTGGATGTGAAAGTGTCAAGGAGTAGGAAAATACATCGGCTCTTCCCTAGTTTGTATTTAAACTTGAATTATTTGCTAGGCTTCATCTACCTAGTTTTATTTATTCTATCTTCTAAATGCACAATCTAAAATTATTGGAATTCTCTTTAATGGGATGGAAGGGAATGTTGCTCCATCCGCATGGTGTGGCCTGGGTTTCTTCTTATCCAAGCTGAAAGAGAAACATTTTCTCCCTTCCTATCCCCACCCAATAAATTTAGAACGGTGGAAAATTAAATGGTCCATGATGGAAAAGAAAGAGATGTTGACATGTGCAAAAATGAAATGTCATTTAGAGTGGACAGTGTGCAGGGCTTATAAACTGGGAGGCCTGAGTTTCTTTCTTTATTACATGGATCTCCAACCTTTCCTTTAGGGAGCTCTGGCAATATGGTGGGTTATCTCTTTTTTATCCTCACACAATCTCTGTGAAAAAAGGTTAAACAGAGGTCTTGTCATTAAATGAGGTTATAAAGCCAAGGCTGGCTTCAGGCAGGAATGCGGAGAGAAATGGTTTTCAGGATTTGTGCTTTTCTCAGGCAGAATGAGGCCTGAAGCAGCAAATGGTGGGGTGGGATCACAAAATCCTAGAATAATGGAGTTAGAAGGGGCCTATACGGTCATGGAGTCCAACCCCCTGCTTAATGCAAGAATCCAAATCAAAGCAGATCTGACAGATGGTTGTCTGACTTTCCCTTGAATGCGTCCAGTGTTGGAGCATTCACTACCTTACAAAGTACAGTGCTGCCTCGCATAACGAGTGCAGTGTTTAACGCCGAATTCGCATAGCGATCCTTTTTTTGGGATCGCTAATGCAATCGCATTGTGATGATTTAATAGGGCAAAAATCGCTTTGCGACGATCGATAAGCATTTTGCTTGCCGATTTTTGCATAGCGATTTTTTTAAATCAGCTGTTCGGCGGTTCCAAAATGGCCACCGGACGCCCAAAATGGCCACGCGCAGCGTTTTCGCGCTCTGCCCTTGCCTACCGAGGGCACAAAAATCGCGGCCTAATGGGGAAACTTCGCTTCATGGTGAGTTTGGAAGCCATAGGAACGCATTAAACGAAGTTTAATGTGTTCCTATGGCATTTTCCATTCCGTATAGTGATGTTTCCCCATAGCAACAGTTAATCCGGAATGGATTAACCTCACTATGCGGGGCACCACTGTAATTGGTTTCACTGTCATACTGCTCTAATAGTTCGGAAGTTTTTTTTCCTGATATTCAAACAAAATCTGGTTTCCTATAGCTTCAGTCCATGGTTGGATGGAGAAGCAGAATGAGCAGCCCATGGCCATTCCCATCTATTGTAGAACATCACTGTGTATACTATAGAACATCACCAGTGCCCTGTAAAACAAGGGTCAGCTCCAACTGTAGCATTCCATGCATATGCATAGGAGATGTGTGTGTATTCATATTATTTTAAATTATGGGGTTATCCCAAGTATCCCACTGCACAGAAGGAGTTCCTGTGCATAGTACTTTGCCTTTTACTTCAGTGGGAATCCTACCTGTACTATAAAACAAACTTTACTGGAGATACCAGGAATCTTGATAAGTCTTTGGATCTGAGTTCCAAATCCAAGTCCGAGTCTTTGGTATGAAGTCCCGAGCGTCAAGTCTGAGTCCCTATTAAAAGCAAGGTATTACCCAGAAAGAAGGAAGGGTGGGTGGGTTTCCTGTCATGAGCTGATTCCAAGTAACTGAAAAAACAAGAAAAAAAACCCAAATTGAGTCTGAATAGAGTAACCAGAGCAACTTATGTCTTATTTGACAGCGAGTTCCATGACTTGAATTTTCCTCTCTGGGAGGTACACACGGGAGAGGAATATCAGGCAGAATGCAAAGAAGCAAAACAACACAAAACAACAAAAAAGACAAAAAACATGTGACACCTTAAAGACTATTTGTTATGAGTTCAGCCAAAGAAGGCATGGAATCAGAGGAGTTAATTACAGCTGAGGAAAATGCTGGGCAATAATATCACAGACTGCTGAATCACCACCAGATTCTCCTCCGCCAGAGTGAGAGATAAGCATCGGCAGAGGCTCACAACATGGAGGACTGAGACTCGCATGAATGCTTCTCACAGGAACATCAGGTTGACCAGCCCAGAGTTTTAACAGGATGGAATGCTTCTAGGAATTAGATGATTGTTGCTGCTATATAATTTGTACTCAGAGGCTTGGAAGCTTGTGGAAGCAACAAGTCAGTTCTCTGGCTCGCACTCACACTCCTGCTTTTCTTGAACCTTGGCTTTCAGACTTTGACTTCTGACTATGGTTTGTGTTTTGGCTTTGATAATTTGGCATCTGTTTTGTATCTCCCGGACTTCTGACCTTGGACTGGCATATTGGACTTTCACCTGCTGAATCCCCTGGGAATGTGACACTATTGTATTTTAATGGGAGCTTTCATGGACATGTCCACTTCATTGGACATATGAAAACAAAATGGGGGAAGAAGGTTTTCAGACCCACCAAATTCACATCCACCTCTTTTGGTACATTGCTTGGAAAAAAACCCACCTACAAGCTATTTGAGGTTTAAAATATGGTGCATGTCAGTGCTGATTGCAGCTGTGGTTCTAGTTTGCTAAAATTGCACTGGTATATATGACAATTAGCATTTCCTAATGTACTTATTGCCAGGATGTTTACATAATCAGCACTCCAAAGATATACTGCCAATGGTAAAAATGTTATTGTCATTTCACGCTATCTCATTTCATTCTAATTTACTCACAAGCATGTACACTGAGCACATAAGCCTATGGCCTAAATTGTGTACTCCAAATGTCAGAGGAAGTGGACTGTAATGCTGAAAAACACACAACAGGAGACTAATTTTAAGATTGTAAGAACATTTTAAAAAACCTATTTGTGTTTTAGCTTTGAAGAATGATGTAAAATGAGCACACCCTGGTGGCCGCTAGTAGCATTTACTGGACATTCACAGATTTTAAAAGGACCAATAGAAAGAAATGTAGTTTGAAAGGAGGTGGGAAAGGGTGGATTAGCATGTACCTCAGACTTCAATGAAGAAAGGAATCCTTTACAGGTGAACAGTGGATATTTTCATGTCCATTAATCTCTATATGAGAATCTCCTCCCTATAAATAAAGATGACTTTTGGAGTATCTAGAATTTCAGGAAGTGTCTGTTCAATGATCAGATTAGAATATGATATCTTTAATGGTTGAGTTCATTTGTCTCTCAATTGATCATGATGTTTTCTCTCCACGCTACTAGCTTCTGTTGCAAGGTAAAAACCCGGGCATTGCCTGGCAGTACACCTTCTCAAAGGCGATCAACGAGAACAAAATTTCCACACAAAGACACAGCTACTCATGGGTGACAGTGCAGTCTGAATGTTCAGTCACGTGCGGTGGAGGTAAGTAATCTATTCACAAAATCTGGATTGCAGACACATTTCTAACTATCACAAAATGTGATTTTCAACTTTTTTGTCCTTCCTTCAAGTGAAACATTTTCTGCAGGATTGTCATCATGACAGGAATTTTTTTCTACTTGGAAGCAAGTCCCATTGAATGCATCTGGATTTACTTCTGAGTAGACATGCCTCTTATTAGTTAATAAAGATGTGCTTGGATTGCTGGTTGAATTTGTTAATTGATTTATTGCCTATTTAGTATTTTTGCTACTGATCCTCCATGCTGTATGTAGTATTCCGTTATTTGTTTGGTTTATTTAAGATGCAGAGGGGGAAGTGCATTTGCAAGGAAGAATCGACAGGAAAACAACAGGAGTTTCCCCTGCAAATATCTTTTCAAATCAGAACAACAACATGGGAAGCAGTGGAATGAAGGAAAGAATAAAACTCTGAGCATTACCTTGCTTACAGAAAGGGATACTTTTGTTCCATATAAGAAATTTTCTATTGCTCTGTAACTGCTTTCAGATAATTTTTACAACTTTGAAATCAGTTTTGATATCTTAGAATCCAGTAGCTTTAAAAACCCACAAAATCCTGAACTAATGTTTTTTTTCTTTTCCTTTTCATAGTCAGTTCAAAGATTTCAGTTTAGTCATGTGCACTTTGCAGTTAGAGTCCACAATGCATTTATTCGTTACATCTCAAACACTGGAATTTAAGCACCAACATGAGTGTCTCTAGATGAGTACTGGATAGGGAGGCTTGCCCCTGGATCCTAAATTCATATATCACTTGGAAGTGCACCAACAAATAAACCAAATTGTAGTGTCATGTACTAAATGTGTAAATTCTGCTCATGTACCATTATGCAGCTTTGCCTACACTCCCAGTTCCTACAGATATTTTGCCATCGAAAGCAGATAGTTATATGAATCGGTTGAGAGTGATGAATGTATAGAGAGGCAGGTGTTGGCTCCACCATTGTCTTTTCCATGAGCTTTGTGCAGACTGCTAATCTCAGGCTTCCTTCCTTCCTCTCCTTCTAAGTTTATGTACTTCGTTGCTCCTCTCCCTCCCTCTCCCTCTCTTTCTCTCTTTCTCTCTCCCTTTCCCCCTCTCTCTCCTTTTTAACCATTGAGAGGCAGCAACCTGTGGGTTTTCCATAATGGCTGTCTGAACAGCCGTTATGCCAAATCTTTCTCTAGAGATCTGTAATTAACTTTAGATAACTCCCCCCCCCCGCACTGTCTCAAAATAGATTAACTGAGATAATGAAAGTGGTGAGGGGATAATAAATCTCATAATCCCTCATCACTTCTTCTTCTTCTTCTTCTTCTTCTTCTTCTTCTTCTTCTTCTTCTTCTTCTTCTTCTTCTTCTTCTTCTTCTTCTTCTTCTTCTTCTTCTTCGGCCTGTGGAATGATTTCTAGAATGATGGCTTCTGTTGAACAGGCACAAGTTCAGCACCAGTTCTCAGCACTGTGCTGTTCTAAATTTCACATAAGCTTGCCACTAACATTAGCTGCTAGATTAGCATCATAGTTAAGGTTAAAACAACAGCATGGTGTATAAACCAGTATTCCATTCACTTTCTCTCTCTTCCCCCCCCATATGCCATGTAGTATTGTGTGCTTTGTTTACTGTTGCAAAGATGCCATTCAAAGAAACAGATAATCCAATAACAGAAAAATAGACCTCTCTTAAAATAGTAACCCTTTGTAGAAAGGCTTAAATTTGGCTGGGTTCAAGTCTTTGGTGGTGAAGCCTTTGGTGGTAGGGGCCATGCTTTGATGTCTCTGCTATGGCTTCAGAATTATGGCCTATCAGTTACTAGGATCGCTTTACCATCTTTTCTTCTACCATCCCTTAGCATTGAATGGTTAACCATTTAAACTTATGTATCAGCAATTTAGATCTTTGTCATTAGGCTAGTATTTCTGGACTGGTATCTGCCATGATTTCAAACCCGTATTCTTTGCTGACATGGCACGTGCAATGCAATATGGCCCCTCCAACGTTCAAACTGATCTGTATAGTTTGGATGTGGGTGATGCTCATCTGATTTCGATGCTATAAAGAGCAAAACCAAACCAGAACTCATCTTAAATACCTTCTCTCTACAGACTCCACAAGTTTCCTGCACTTCCAAGCACAACAGACAGTGACACTGATAATTTTGATTAATGCCCCTTACTTATCCCCATAGCCCACGCTTTCAGTTTTATGCTACATTTTCTTTTTTCAGCCGGTTCCCTATATATTTGCCCGAATTAGTTAATGGTTACTATTTTTATTCAGTACTTTCTACCTATTGTCTTTCTTTCCTCTTGGATATCCTCTTTGACTTTTTCCTACCTTTGCTTGCCACTTTAGTGCTGAATTTTCCTAGAGCTTCACATTTCCTTTCACACTGTCCTATAATTTCCATCACTGCATTCCTTCTACCATCCAGTTCTTGTGTCATTCTTCTTATTCACCGTCTTCTTCTTTCCACCTCTGTTTGCATTACTGACTCTGTCTCTCTAAAAGTTGTGAATTCATTCTGAATCAATGTCCATTCTGAATCAATCAATTTCCTTCCCCTCTTTTCTACGGCCCATTTACTTCTCTTTGGCTTGTCATCTGTGGAAAAGCTACAATATTTTATTTAGTAGTGATAGCTTCCCTCTACTGCAGTTCAATATGACAGAGCATGGATTAATAAGTGCTACAGATCTGAATTGATGCTTTTGAATTGTGGTGCTGGAGGAGACTCTTGAGAGTCCCCTGGACTGCAAGTTGAACAAACCTATCCATTCTAAAGGAAATCAAGCCTGAGTGCTCCCTGGAAGGACAGATCCTGAAGTTGAGGCTCCAATACTTTGGCCATCTCATGAGAAGAGAAGACTCCCTGGAAAAGACCCTGATGTTGGGAAAGTGTGAAGGCAAGAGGAGAAGGGGACAACAGAGGATGAGATGGTTGGACAGTGTCATCGAAGCGACCAAAATGAATTTGGCCCAGCTCCGGGAGGCAGTGGAAGACAGGAGGGCTTGGCATGCTCTGGTCCATGGGGTCACGAAGAGTTGGACATGACTAAACGACTAAACAACAACAACAACAACAACAACAGATCTGAGTTCTCCACCAACACACTCTTGGACTTAAGAGGGCCTGCAAATAGTCTCCTAGCTCATACTCCCAAAAATGTTTTTTGCTTTACAAATCTTTTAACAAATTTGAAGTAGCTTCTTCATGCATTTCCATTTTTTTTTTTAAAAAAAGACAAATTGTGTCTGGGAGGAGAGATGGTGGCAAGTAAGACCTCAGACACAGTCAAATACTCTTCTATGTCCCTAGAGGCCCAGAGAGGACTTCTTAAGGTCTGTGAAGATTCTCAGTCATCCAGGTGAGATTATCTAGAAGTTGGGTCATGGCAACTGGACTTCTTTCTTATTAGGCTGAAATGTTTTACTACTCATCCACGTAGCTTCTTTAGTCTGAGGAGAGTTGGTAGGAGAACCCTGATATATCCTCCACATTAATGACTGTTAACGACCCATGACAACGGGTAGAGAAGGACCGCAGAGGTGGGATTTTCTCTCATCTCCCCCATCCATCATCCATCTAATGAGCATATTCAGACCAGCAGGAAGTGAAACAAACATGGGGGTTATATCAAGGCTCTCCTACCAACTCTCCTCAGACTGAAAGACCTACATGGATGAGAAGGAAAACATTTCAACCTAATCAGAAAGAAGTCTAGTTGCCGATAAGGGGACTTCTTGTGCCATTTAAGACAAACTTAAAATGGTGTGGTGTTGTGACCAGGATTATAGCAGTGTGTGTGAGGGGACCGTGGGCCACATTTGGATCTCTGCAGGTGCCCGATTGGCCACACTTTGTTGACTCTATCTATGAAGCAACTTTCCTCATCTGGGTGCCCTTCAGATGTTTTAGGCTTTAACATTGTCATAGTAGGTGAGGTTGGTAGCAGTTATACTCCAAAATATCTGGAGAACCTAAGGTTGAAGAAGTTGCTGTGAGACGTTTCTTTACTTGAAGGTATTAATCAATGTACAGGTACTTGAAAACATTAATTAATGGTTTGATATCCTTGAATCCCTCTTAAAATTGGTGTTTACTATTGAAAATCCAATTGCATTAAAAATAGTTCCCCAAAGTACCTCAGGAAATTGTCTGCAGGTTACTGAAAATCATGCTTTAAAGTTAACCTAAGTATTTCTCAGAGGAAACAAGGGTGTTCAAGATATTCTGAGACCCGAAGCAGAACATGCTTTAAAAGTAGTAAGAATAGTTAAGGCTAACTAGTAGCCTACCCATCATCTGTTACTGAATTCCTTGAGACAAACATAGTTGTTATGTCTGTTGCTCTTTAATATCTGAAGCCTTGAGAATCTCTCTCTCTTTAGGGTTGTAAGGGTGTCTCTTCCTCAGGTGTGGAAGTCCAAACATGGCTCTTGACTAATTCAATGAACTTCTTGACTAATTGTGACCTTGTGGGCAATGTGTTTTTACCTTTCAGAAATAATTATTTTCTTTCTCAGATCCCTCATTTGAATCATGGTTTGCTTTGTTTTCTCTTGGTTTTTTCCACAGGGCACTTGATAGCAAAAGCTGTATGTTTACAAGATCATCGTACCCGGGTCAATTCCTCTCTCTGTGGCCCAAGGACAAAACCTTTGATGGAGACGAAGATATGCAATGCAGATCCTTGCCCAGCCTAGTAAGTGTCACAACTTCATATTCTCTATTTCTTTCTTTCTTTTCTTTGTGTTCAGAAAGCTTAAATGCCTGATGTGCAGAGATCAGGAGTGGAGCTAGTAGGAGGAATCTATGTGCAAAAGCTTGCAAGAGGATCAAGGCAGTCAACCTTGAGCTTGCTTACGCCACCCACCTGGGTAGATCCCACTCAAGGCTGTTCAGAAATCACTAGCCTCTTTGAATTTCTTGTCTCAGGTATGGGAAAGAGCCAGAGAATGGTGTCCCCTCCCCCACCTCTTAACATCTCTGTAATTTTGGCAAAATTACATCTCTGCAGAGTTACTGTCTTCCTTTCCATTTGTGAAGCAAAGTACACAGACCGTGAGCACTGGAAGACTGGTCACTTGATTAACGATGCAAATAATCTATATGATGCTTCTATTTTTGAAAAATATCCCATGCAACCAGGGTGCAGTTGTGACAGTTTAGTCCCAGATGAGCAATTTACACACTATAAATTAATATGTGCATTTTACACAATTTGCATAGAGGTATTTCTTCAAATGTAAGGGACGTGGTGGCGCTGCGGGTTAAACCGCAGATGCCTCTGTGCTGCAAGGTCAGAAGACCAGCAGTCATAAGATCGAATCTATGGGACGGAGTGAGCTCCCGTCGCTTGTCCCAGCTCCTGCCAACCTAGCAGTTCAAAAACATGTAAAAATGCAAGTAGATAGATAGGGACCACCACGGTTGGAACATAACGGCGTTCTGTGTCTAGTCGCACTGGCCACATGACCACGGAACCTGTCTTCGGACAAACACTGGCTCTATGCCTTGGGAACAGGGATGACCACCGACCCCTAGAGTCGGACACAACTAGACTGAATGTCAAGGGGAACCTTTACCTATTTCTTCAAATGCATCAAAGCACCAAAAATATCTTGTAGATGAGGAAGAAAAAATATTTTTAATTGCGTGCACGAATATGATTGATTGATTGATTGATTGATTGATTGATTGATTGATTGATTGATTGATTATTTGATATGACTTGAGTTCTCTACCACCCATCTCGCCAAAGGCCATTCTGTGAAGACTTTGGCCCGATGACTATGGCTATCTTCCTTCCCAAAATAAAAGGATGGATGAAGTGTCTCCGTTGGTTTTCATGGGGGTATTTTAACATCTTCTTGAAAGGCAACTGACTACTGGTGGGAAACAAAAGAGGGTGATGTTTAAACAGGGGCTGTTTAAGCCAACTGTTTCTTCCCCTAAACCCTGTCGAACTGGCATAATCCTAATTCAAATTATTTCTGCGTCTCAACCACCTTAAACAGATGGATAATAACTGTATTTTCTGCAGTTTGTTTTTTTTAAAGTATACAGTGTAAAAGCAGTAGGACATTTTACATATCCTCACACAGCTCTCCAACAGAGTAGAATTTTAGAGAACTGTGTCTCTGCATATGCTTCTGTGTATGTATGTTTGTCTAAATCTAGCTATATTTACATAATTATATAGCTACATAGGCACACACACACATGTCTAGCATAAACCCCTAGACAATATTATGGCGGAACCGTAAGGAGGCAGAGATAATGCTTAATTGGGGTGACAGATCATGTGAGAGCTTCAGAATTTTTATTGTCTTGCCTGAAGCCACCCCATTGTCTGCAAACTTATTTGAAGTAATTTCCCTAGCCAAATAATCTATTTGCATGTGATTAATCTTCTGCCAGATGTTTATTTCTGTACCCATGGGCTCTGATCCCTGCAGACAGAACAGCCTTCTATTACATTTCCTGCAGTTTTCCCTGGGTTGTTTGTATTTGCCTTTTAATTGTGGTTGGCAACTCCTTAAACATAGTGTTTATTTTAATCGGTGGAAAAGCCACACAAGTAGCTATCAAGGCATGCCTCTGCCATTATTGGAAACTGTGTGCACTTTAAAACTGGGTGTGTGGATACAAAATGCTGCATTTGCAGACATGTGACTCCCTGCAACCAAAACCCTTTCATGATTGTCCAAAGTCCCAGTCGTGTAGAGAATCTTCCACAAATAGGGGTAGCTCCCCCCACCCCCGGAGACCTTTGCTGAACACATTTCTGAAAAATGGCATTAGGGATGGGCTCAATGCCGGTGACATTGAATGTCCCTTTTATCTCACAGAGATAATTTTGTGTGGCTGATGCTGGGGAATATAATATGGATAGCTCAGTAGTTTAGGTCTCTGGCTGCAAAGTTAGAGGCTGGGAGTTCGATTCCCCACTGGGCCTCCTTGAGACGGGATGGACTTGATGATCCATAGGGTCCCTTCCCAGCTCTGTAGTTCAAAGGTTGTTATATTATGTATAGCGTGTGGGCCTTATTTGGCCCATGGCCATTTTTACCACTCTAGCTGGCTCCACCAAAGCAGTGTTACCAGAACAAATGGTGTACAATTTCACTTAGAAAAGTAAACCTATGTTATAATCCATTTGATACTTCAGATGTTGCACATCAGATTTTCTTTGGGGATTTTTTTTAAAAAATGGAATCTCTGAAGCCACTGGGAACTTGGCCAGTGGTCAAAGGTGGTGGAAAGGTAAAGGTAAAGGTTCCCCTTGACAATTTATCCAGTCATGTCCGACTCTAGGGGGTGGTGCTCATCTCCGTTTCCAACCCATAGAGCTAGCGTTTGTCCGCAGACAATCCTCTGTGGTCACGTGGCCAGTGTGACTAGACACGGAATGCCGTTTACCTTCCCACCGAGGTGGTACCTATTTATCTGCTCGCCTTCTGTATTTTGCATGCTTTAGAACCGCTAGGTTGGCGGGAGCTGCGACAAGCGACAGGGGCTCACTCCGTCGTGTGGATTCAATCTTACGACTACAGGTCTTCTGACCTTGCAGCGCAGAGGCTTCAGCGGTTTAACCCACAGCACCACCACGTCCCTCTAAAGGTGGTGGAAACAATAGTCTAAGTAAGGGGTTCCTAAACTGTGTGCAGTGTCACCATGGGGCACTGCCAAACCCAGGAAGAATGATTTTCAGAACATACTTGCACAAGTAATGTGAATGGCAAAAAAAAAAGGAGAAAAAGAAAAAGAGAAGAGGAAACCCTGCTGTGTTTGTTGGTTTGCTGCATCAAATGGCATGGACCAGAAGCATCACAGGGTTATTTGTATCTTTTTAACATGGCCAGCCCTGTGTTTGCTGCATGTGTGTGCTTTGCTGTCCAAAGAAAAGGCCATTCGTTTTGCCCAAAGACATGTTTGTGCACATTATGGAGACTTTAATGGGGAAAAAAATAGCCCTCCTGATCTCACTCTCAACTGGACTTGAAAGGAATCTCACTGGAGTTGAAAAATCCTTGTCAAGGTGTCTTGTCAAGTTGGAACAGGTGAAAAGAATGAAGAGTTTAGGATACATTCTTCAGGTAACTGGAAGATGTATATTGGGTAGCCAGACTTCTTCAGGGTTTTAATGCTCTCTTTTCCTGATCATGCTTCCAGTCACAGAAGTACACCAGAGTTACCATATTTTTCTGTGTATAAGACTATACTTTTGTCTAAAATCTTTAGACTAAAAATTGAGGATCGTCTTATATGCTGAAGTAAGCTGAGGATAGAACAAAAACAAGTGGAGGGGAAAGCAGGGATCAAAGCGATCCTGCAGCACTTTGATCCCTTTCCCCCTACACTTGCCAAGCCCCACTTATTTTTCTTAATTTTGGATTAGAAAAGTGCCTTCAGCCTGTGACATTCTTATACATGACAGGTAAATCAGTTTCAGAGCTGCTGTCATAAGTCTTCATTCACTGTTAACCACAACTGACCCATAGGGTCCAGCATCCATTTTAATTTCATTGTCTTTTCCTCAGATGACTGTAATCAACAAACATGTTCTTTTTTAAAAAAAGTTGGTCAACAGGTGATTGGAGTGTGTGCAGTCAATCATGTGGTGGAGGGCAGCAAACCCGTCCAATCCAGTGTCTTCAGAAGAAAGCTTTTCAGAAGGATGACATTGTGGCGCATGCTCTTTGCCCAGTGACGACCCCAGCACAAATACAAGCATGTAATACACAGGACTGCCCACCAGAATGGAGTCCCGGCCCATGGTCACAGGTACTTAAGACAAAGTCTTTAGTTCATTTCCCACTGTTCTTTTACAGAGAGATCTCTTGAACTAGTCCAGAAGTCCGCCTCATCTTAGGAACCTTAGATCATTTTATTTCCAGTCCATGTAATTTTTCCCTGATTGTTTTCTTTCATCTTGTTTCGTACAACGAAAACAGAGACAGATTTCCATCTAAACTGAATATGCCACCTTAACGTATGCATCTTTCCTGCACCGTCCCCGAAAATGCACCTTTTAAAATGCATATTATCCTTGTCATATGCATGTGTGCATGCATTTTTCTTTACAGCGTACAGTTTGGAGTTAAGAACAATACTGCAACATTCGGGGGCAGGTGCAATTCAGTTGTTAGCTTTGTATTCATGTATCAGGTTAGTGTATGTAATAAAGTGGAAATAGTGCCATATCAGGGGTGAGCAAAGTGCAACTCAAAAACTATACATGTCCCCCGTGTTCCCAGACACACAAACACATGTTTTGTCCTTAGAAAGACCCCTGGCACCCAGTGGGAGATACAGGCAGTGATTTTGCCAGATGTTTTCTCACTGGCCTTTTTTAGAATCAGAATGGTTCCCCCCCCCCCAAAAAAAATAGGTGGAAAATGGCTTTTAAAAATTAGCAATAATTATTTAGGAGAGATATTGGGAAGCGAGGGGAGAAGGGCATCCTTCTGAGACCCAAGAAACATTTGTGTCCACAGTGTTGTGTGTCCTGCAGATGTAGGGAAGAAGACCTCTGAAAGGACAAAAAAAAGAGACCTAAAATGATCAGTTGTTGTAGTGCTTCCAGAAGGCCTGCATGTCCTGTTGTTGTTTAGTTGTGTCCGATTCTTTGTGACCCCATGGACCAGAGCACGGCAGGCCCTCCTGTCTTCCACTACCTCCCGGAGTTGGGTCAAATTCATGTAGGTCCCTTCGATGACCCTGTCCAACCATCTCGTCCTCTGTCGTCTCCTTCTCCTCTTGCCCTCACACTTTCCCAACATCAGGGTCTTTTCCAGGGAGTCTCCTCTTCTCATGAGATGGCCAAAGTATTGGAGCCTCAGCTTCAGGATCTGTCCTTCTAGTGTTAGCCCTGGTGGCCTCCAAATCCCATAATCATTGACCATTGGTTGTGATGACTGGAACTTATGGTAGTTGTCATTCAGAACATCTCCAGCTTGATGGGAACGGCTGGACAGAGAATTAGACCTGATAAGTAGAAAGGGTTTTTATTAGGTTTCAGAAGCAAATACATCCTACCCTCTCACCCTGCAAAAGGGAGATCTTCATTGTGAGAGGAGTGTGAACATCCAAAATCATGATGGATGTTGTCTTTGATAAGGTATCATTTCAAAGAACTAAATATCACATCGCACTTAAACACCACACTTAGAAGCATAGCTGGTAGCAGAGAGCCTCAGGCAAATTCCAACTTACACACACACACAAATACATCCTACCCTCTCACCCTGCAAAAGGGAGATCTTCATTGTGAGAGGAGTGTGAACATCCAAAATCATGATGGATGTTGTCTTTGATAAGGTATCATTTCAAAGAACTAAATATCACATCGCACTTAAACACCACACTTAGAAGCATAGCTGGTAGCAGAGAGCCTCAGGCAAATTCCAACTTACACACACACACCTCTGATAGAATAGTATTACAAGTCTGACAGCCTTCACACCAAAATGAAACACACAATTGGTATTTTGTAACATTGCCAAGGCCGGCATACCACACATATTTATTAAAGTGAATGCGCTGATGTAAAAACCATCCACCATAATCTAAAAATCAGCTGTAAACGTAAGAAAGAAAAAAATGTGTTGTGGGTTTTGTTTGTTTCCTTGCTTAATGAGCATTTCAGGGCCATAATCTAAAAATCAGCTGTAAAAGTGAGAAAGAAAGGGAAAAAATGTGTTGTGGGTTTTATTTGTTTCCTTGCTTAATGAGCATTTCAGGTGATTGAGGTATCTTAGATTCCTGAGCGCATGGTGCCATTAGAGTGAGGTAGAAACCAGGACGTTCTATCTGAATAACCCAAAATAGATAACGATGGTTTACCCAAGGGAAATCTTGGCAAAAGGACCCAAATATGCCTCCCTGAGAGTTTTGAAGGCCCATGTTGGGGCTTACATTTCTGATTCTGATAGTCCTGAAAGATCATCACCCCATCTGCCTGACACCACCTGTGCTGCCGCCAGTTTGGGCTGGTGAACAAATTTATCTCTTTGTTTTCCAAAAGATTCAGGGAAGTGAAGGGTCCCTTGCAGGGGAGGGTGGCTCCAGCTGTTACCCAGCAATACTCAGTTCTGATGTAGGCTCTGAAGGAGATGACTAAACTTGAGTACAGACTTTAGCATAGTACAGAGTCACACAGTGTATTCAATATTAGGAAACTAGGCAAATTGGGGTGGGGTGGGGTCACTGCCTGGATAGGTGAATCTCCCAACCCAAACCCTGAGGACTACACTGAATTTCACAAGTAAGCAAAAGTAGGATTATGACCCGTCTAAAAGTAGGATAATGGCCGGTCTTGAGGCTTTTTTTTTAGTTTACTGTTCTTCTGTGACATGGCAATGCCAGCATCAGTTTCTAATGTCAGACTTTCTTCCAATTTCATAAAGTGCTCCAAAACATGTGGAAGAGGCATCGTGAAACGTGACATTGTCTGCAAAAGCGTAGGAGTTTCCACAGTGAAAATCCTGCCCAAGGAGATGTGCAACCGGGAAACAAAGCCAGAGACGCAACAGATGTGCGTTTTGGGAAGGTGTCCTAAGAACGATCGGCTCCAGTGGGTGATTTCTGCTTGGAGCGAGGTAAAATCACAGGCAAGCTCAGCCCAGTTCTGAGAGACTGGCCGGAAACAGTCTTGTGTTTGTTCACCTTGGAATTTGTGCTTTGTATTCAAAGGACTGGCAGGATTTTCTGCCATTAAGACTTCCGTTAGCAGAAATATGCTAGTGAATAATGTTCTTTTTATGATAAACTTGAATAGCAAGGGGGTTCTTTTCTTATTTAGAAAGGCATTGGGGCACATGGCACAGCCTGTCCCCCCCCCCAATAAAAGGAACAACAACATCAAGTTTTAGTGAAACTCTAGAAGAATCCTAGAGAATCCTTTACAAATTCTCCCATATTGCATCACTGGCAATCAGCTGATAACCTAACAGCCACAATCGTGTTGATTAGCTATGCTGGTGGAAGTGCACTGCCATAAATCCCAGCAGAGACCTCTTGTGTATATTTTTCAGTGAGTGTACTTTTTTGTGTGTGTGTTTGTATTTTTCAATGCATATTGGCACTCCCCACCCCACAAACTTTAGAAGAGTAGGGCCTGTAGAGTCTAAACACTTTCAGGTTTGTGAAATATACATTTTGTGAGACATCACTGAAGTATCAGCAGAGCTGATGTCTCTAATAGAAAGGAAGAATGTCTGGTAAAGTGCAGAGATCTTCATGTCAAAAATCACTTAAAAGGAATAGGAAGGAGGTAAGTTCTGGGAGAGCCATTGCCTGTCATTGCAGACATACCTGATCCATCTAGACAAGGGTGGGAAATATGCAGCATGTAGGCCACATACAGCATAAACCCAGAGGGAAAATGTAGCCCCATATACAGTGGTGCCTCGCTAGACAGTTACCCCGCATGACCGTTTTTTCGCTATCAAAACAGTGATTCCTATGGGGGAATTTTGCTGGACAATGTTTGATCCCTGCTTCGCAAACCAGTTTTCGCTAGACAATGATTTTGACAGCTCCCTCCGTGCTCACAAAACAGATGTTTTCGAGGAACTAAGCTTCGCAAGACAGCGATTTAAACAGCTGATTGGCAGTTCGCAAAGTGGCTTTCCTATGGCCGATCTTCGCTAGACAATGACGATTCTTCCCCATTGGAATGCATTAAACAGGTTTCAATGCATTCCAGTGGGGAAATGCTTTTCACTAGACAATGATTTCACTAAACAGCGATTTCAGTGGAATGGATTATCATCATCTAGCGAGGCACCACTGTACATGTGTGTATAGGAGGTCACAGGAGCAGATGTGGTTCTCCAAGTCCAGGCATGGACATCTACAGTTCATGGACCTCTGGAGACTGGCCTTACCTGCTCTGGGTCAGCCTCATAATCTTGCCAGCTACCGATGGAGTTAGTTATTCCATGTCACTTCCATGGATTTTCCTCCACAGTGTTCCGTCACCTGTGGCCCAGGCATAAGGAGACGAGAAATGCAGTGCAGCGAGAAGAGCATCAGTGGCAAGCTGATCACTTTCCCACAGCGACGTTGCCGAAATCTTAAGAAACCGAACATTGAACTGGAAGAAGTGTGCAACAAAGGAGCATGCCCTTTACACTATTTGTATACCAGAATATCAGGGTGGTATTCTTCACCTTGGCAGCAGGTAAGAGAATGGGATCATGACCCAGTGTTTCATTCATCGGTAGATCACGGGTGGGCCAAGTGTGACTCTCCAGATATTAGTTGACTACAGCTCCCATCATCCTTTACTAGGGCTGGAGGGAGCAGAATGACATCTTGCCCAACTCTGTTCTAGAGCAGTAATTCTTGGGTGATTCTTGGACTGCCATTCTCAGAAACTCTCGCAGCACAGCTAGTGGCAAAGGCTTTTGGGAGCTGCAGTGCAAGAATACCTGGGTTGGGAATTACTACTCTAGAGGAAAGTACATTTGAGCACTCTCAATACATTATTGAAAGGAAGAGAGCATCTTGTTGTTACCGCAGAATGGGAGCACTTTGGTTCCCCACTCTATCGAGAACTTACGTACAAGCAGCTGTTCATACACAGCTGCCTGCCAACGGCAGCTGATGCATGGACATTTCCTTAACATCTCTATTGCAAAATGGTACCATGCAGGAAGGATTTAACCAGACAGCAGCCCAAGACTGATTTTCTACCTGAGATGGAGCAGCAAATGGTGTTTGTTTCCCATTGTTCACTCAAGCCTAGATGCAAAGCCAAGCAAGTTATTTAGAACATGAAATAGGAGTTCCTGCAAATACATTCCATCCCAGGCAGTGAAATGATAATGATGTGCCATCAAGTCCGTTCTGATTTATGGAGACCCTTTTTTAGGTTTTCCGGGTCGAGAATATGCAGAAGTGGTTTCCCATTCCCTCTTCTGGGGACAACTCAGGACTGTGCAGCTTGCCCAAGGTCACCCAAGCTGGCTTTACTCCCAGGAGGCACAGTGGAGGAATCAAACTCCCAATCTCTGGCTCCATAGCCAGATACCTAACTCACCGAGCTATCCAGCAACTTATCCCAGGCATTAGAAATAGAAAAATAACGTAGCATGTAACTGACACTTTGCTATCCTTTTCACAAGTCTGCCTCCTTGTAGGGTTAGACTTGGCCAGATTGCTAAAGTATGTGCACATTGCTTGCAGGAGAAGTACTTAGCAGAGAGGCAATAATAATAACAGCAGCATCATATTGGCATAAGATTCATTTGTCTAGAAAACAAAGAGAGCTACTTATATAACCATGTTCCTGCTGTTACTTCTTTGCTACGTTCCATGTTCCTTTCCATACCATTCGTCAGATGGCTGTACTGTAGTTGAACCAGGACACATCTCTCTGTGCAGGGTCCTTAGAGATCTGCAGAGACTGTCTGGAATTCTTTAAATCGTTTGATTGATTCCTGGGATCGGGCTGTATTTGTTTCCAGTCTCGCAAACAGGCTTCTGTATTTTGGGAACTGGCTTGGCTTGTATGACTCAGATATCCCCGAGACAAACATTTCTTGGCCATACAGATATGCAACTTTACCACGAAGCTTTGTAATTAGGCAGGAGCCTTGCCATTTGTCTTGCACAGTTGATGTTCATGGATAGATTCATGGGCAGCTTCAGTGCTTCAAGGGGTGCTGCAAAAATAAAAGCAGAGTGTTCCTATCGCTTGCAATAACTCAATTTCCCACTCATGCCATGTCTAGCACAGCAGGAAAGTTCCTAAAATGTCTTCACTGCCCTGGGGATATAAATTGCCTTGGATAAATAAATAAACAACACTTTTAAGTGCCTGTCTTTCCACACTTAAATATGTGCTCAGAATCAGGACATGCTACAGGGCTGGCAACTTCCAAGACTCGGCAGTGAGGGAGAGCAGATGAAGACTTCTGAAGGAGAGAGACTATATTTCAGCGTTAGGGCACATAATTCATCTTCTGTCAACATTCACTATTAAACATTTCCAATTCCAGAGTTTTAGGCAGCAAGTTGGTCTGTGTGTGTTGGGGAGACCTGCCTGTATGATCCTGGAGTATTATTTTGACCAAAGCTGCCCTAGATGAACCAATGTTCTGACTCCAGATAAGACTGTTTCATGATTGGATTTGAAAGCTTGGAGTTTATTGTCGTCTGCAGCTGTGAAACACTGAGCCAGTAGTGTTAAATCAGATTGCCAATGGAACAAAGTTGACTTCCATCTCAGTCTTAACTCTGTTTACTTGGGAATAAAGCACTATAGCTGAAATCCAATAGCAAGTCACAACTAAAGGAAGCCCATTGAATCAATGGAATTTACAGAGGAGTTGATTCACCATATCCCCACTAATTTAATGAATCTACTCTAGTTATGACTTACTGCTAGGTTTTCAGCTGATAAGGTTCTCTGCTAATAAGGGTGGCTTCATAGACTCATAAACAGAGATGCCCACAAACCACTGGTCTGGCAGTTTGTGCTGGTTTCTCCTTCAGATGAACAGGCTTTTCTGCCCTGCCTCCTCCAGGCACTTCCTCTGAGTGGGCACCTGCCAGAGGAGGCAGGGCTGGGAAGCTCCGGACACCTGTACATCTGAAGGACAGACTGGTATAAACTGCCCAATCCTGTCCCTTCTCACAATCTCCCGGCCCAAAGGTCAAATTCCCAATTTATTTATATTTTTGTCTATCTGATTTTTAGATGACCAGCATGTTTAGAAGTTGATCTGTTCGGTTTGCTGCCATCTTGTATTTTAGTATAGATATTATTACATGTTTAGGTTGATTTTTTTCTTGCTTAAGGTCTTATTTCTCATGATTATTGAATTGCAGCTTATGTTGTGAATGCTCCTATTGTAAGTGGCCCAGAGTAGTGTCCAGGCCACTAGATGGGTGGACCAAAAATTTGAATGAATGAATGAATGAATGAATGAATGAATGAATGAATGAATGAATGAATGAATGAATGAATGAATTCTTCCGACAATGGTTGTAGAGGTCAGTGTGAAATCTATGCCAGACTCTTCACAGTGGAGAAAACCTTATGAAGAACAGATGAAAAAGTTTGGTGATTCAAAAGCTTGGTTGATTCAAAGGACCGCCGTTACTGGGACAAACCCTTATGTTTTCACCCTCCTTGCAGTGTACTGTGACCTGTGGAGGAGGGGTGCAAACACGGAGGGTGCAGTGTCTCCGCCAGGGTCAGCCAGCCACAGGTTGTCTGCCTCATCAAAAGCCTGCCGTGTCTCGAGCCTGCAATACAAACTTCTGTCTTGCTCCTGAGAAAAAAGGTAACAATGCTATAAATTTCAAAAGCAAATCCATACCGGAATGAATCCCTCAAGCTTTTCTTGTTTCTCAGAGTTGATGCAGAGTTGATACCTGAATCTCTGATTTCTTAAAGCTATTATGTCAGACTTAGAGCTGTGCACAAATGCCATTTTGAAATTCTCCATTATCTTTGTAGGCAGAAAAAAGTAAGGTACAGGAACAATGTCACGAAATTTTGTGTTGAATTTTACCTACCTACCTACCTACCTACCTACCTACCTACCTACCTACCTACCTACCTACCTACCTACCTACCTACCTACCTACCTACCTACCTACCTACCTACCTACCTACCTACCTACCTACCTACCTACCTACCTACCTACCTACCTACCTACCTACCTACCTACCTACCTACCTACCTACCTACCTACCTACCTACCTACCTACCTACCTACTTGTTTGTTTGTTTGTTTGTTTGTTTGTTTGTTTGTTTGTTTGTTTATTTATTTATTTGCAATAGCAACTGGGTTAGTGAATAGTGATAGAATGTAATGCAGCCCTCCTCGGTAAGCTTGAAGTACAAACTCATACCTTATTACTTACTTTATTATTATTATTTTATTACCATAGTCTGTCAAGACTGAAGGATGCCTATGCACACATTATTATTATAAGCATAGGTCAGCATAATTAGATATGCAAGACTAAAATACAATAATAAATTGTATAATATTTACAATCACTATAAAACAGACTGAAATTCAAATTAAAATTGAGTATGAATTCCTAATCTGATTACTGAAGTAATTTAATCATCCGTTTTCTTACTGTGCAGAATTTTGCAGCCTTAGCTGTAGAGATGGCTCAAGGGTTCATGCTGGTTCAGCGGATGGCTGAACAGGGGTTCTGCGGTTCGGTGCCTCGCCTCCTCCGTTGGGCACTCACTCAGAGGGGGCTGCTGGAGGGGGCAGGGCAGGGAAGCTCGGATACTGCTTCCAACCACCAAAGAGGGCAGGGCATCAAACCAGGGAACACCTGTTTGGCTATCTCTGAGGATTCAGAGAGGAGAAAAGAGATGTAGAATGTATCGGGTCTACCTGTTTTGAAGTTGGGGACAAGCTCCAAAATGGTCTTCCCTTCTCTTTCTGGAGGAGTAGGAAAAAACATCCCAGAATGTTTCTCAGAAAAATCTCTGCTGAGAATCTCAGCTCAGCAGCAGTTTTCATCCACCAGGATTCAGCATGTTCCTCAAATTGCTCAGTTTTGAGGGGTTATGTTAGAAACATTTTTTAAAACTCTACTGAAGATGGTTATAACACTACTACTTCCCTGTAAGCCTTGCAGTGAGTGGGTACAAGGAAGAAACACGTTGTGCTCAGCTTCAGGAAGAAGATGATATTAATGGCTCTTGCTCGATTTGCCCTCAGCCTTTTGGAATTTATGCACTTCTCTCTTCCTTCTGTTACACATCCCTCTCTTACTCTCCAGTTTCCTTGAGTGTTCACGCTTTTTGATCTTTCTTTTGGGAGGAGTTAGTTTATGATATCTTTCTCTAGGCTGGGGCTGGGGGAGGGGACTTACGGCTGCTTCAGAGATTGATGGATACTCCTCAGGCACCTCAAAAGTAAAGTAAATACAAGAATCCTGGCACTCATCCATCAGTATTTTTCCTTCTTTGAAATTCTTTTTGAAGGGGATTTCTTTCTGTCAAATTAAATAGGAATGATTGAAATATTCATTGGAAATTCTTTGCATAGCAATTATCTCGACTAGTGGAGGAATGAAGCCACATCACCAACATTATCACCAACAAGGTCCTGGGATAGCAATCATGTGAAGAGTTGTTGTGTCCATTTATGAGTGTTTCTTGTTAGTCGCTGTTGAACACTTGGGGTGTCTTTATCAAAATTTAAGTCATTTCGGAGGATCTTGGGTGACATGAGAGATTCGTCTGTGATTGGTCATTCCATGATGGTCCCAGGTCAAACTTTTTTGCACATCTCGTAAAGTTTCATCTGCACCAACAAAGAGCAGCTCACGTGGGTATCTGCAACCTTACTCTATTAAAATGGGGATGGTGGTTGTAGAATCTGGGATCGTCTCCATGCAAACCATACATGCTTTCACTAAATTATAATTTGTCCCAAAACCTATCAAGTGAATTGTTCAGCACTCTGCTCTCCAGCCTACTGCCTACACTAGGAGGCAAAATAGTTGGAGGCCCAGTTGGAGGCCCCTCAGACCTGAAGCACCCAAGCTGTAGACACCAACACATGGAGCAGATCCACCAGCCAGAGGTATCTAAATCTTTCCTGCCTACCTTTTTCCCCTTTGGGTCAGGAAATGCCAAAGGAGAAGAGTCTGTTTCTCCATGGCTGGCTTGCTCATCACATTTGTCAAATGTTGGCCAAATATTGTGTTGTATCCCTCTCTTTCTTCCTGCTACTTGAATAGCAACTAAATTTTAAAAAGGCAAGAAATGACACTATTATAAAGCAGCATGCATAATGTTGTATTAAAGCCAATGAATATTTTAAGACATTTTAAAAATACATTTTTTGTTTTGTTTTGTTTGGAGAAGATCAATATCCCCAGGCAAGAATTTTTTTTCCTTAGTGTGCTGACCTTGGCCAGGCTGGGCCGAAGGGCAAGATCTTGGAAGGCTGAAGCACAAAAACAAAGCTGACCGAGGGAGCCCAGAATCAGTATGAAGGCTATACGGAGGTTTCGGAGCAGAATCCTAATTCAGGCCCAAAAAAGCAAAATTCAAGAGCAGTCTAGAATAAAAATGGCCCAGCCATGCCAAAAAAGAAACAAGGAAAGTCCAAGAAGCCTAGCCGAGCGGTCCAAAAGTCATGCACAGCAAGTGGTCTGCAGTCAAAGGATCAGGATACAAAGCAAGCAGTGTCTGAAGCAAGAAGAGTTATCATCAAGGACAAAGTCACAATCCTGAACTAAGGTTTATATAACAGAGTTATATAACTGGAACCCACCCAGTGTTCAGCTTCAGACACTTGGCCAGCTAGGAAGAACACACAGCCATAGAATTAGCATGCTGTTTTCCCTGGGAAGAGGGCTTTCCCTCAAGGTTACCCCTGCTCTTGAGGAGACTTCTTTCCCTGAAGATCCTTTCTCTGTCGCTGAGCACTCTGCCTGGGGGAAAATCTAGCCTGATCCAGGGCCCTTATCCAGTAGCATCATCACAGACTGAGAGGCAGTTATGCATCCTCCTTTGATTCAGGTGCAGAGCCCCCTTCTTCTAGGAGTTCAGACCCCCTGCCCTACAAAAGATCCGGGGCCTGTAGAATCCAGCATTGCCTTATTTATTTATTTATTTATTTATTTATTTATTTATTTATTTATTTATTTATTTATTTATTTATTTATTTATTTATTTATTTATTTATTTATTTACCGCTCATCTGGTCAAACCTCGGCTTTGAGGGGGTCTAGAACATCTGTGCTGGAGGACTCATTCAGTGGGATTGTGACACATGGGAACTGATCAGATGGTAAATGCTCATCTGACCAGAAAGTTCTTTATCTGTTGGCAGAAACGCAACAGGGGGAGTCAACCTCGCTTCTCTTGAGGAATCAGCAAATAGTTTACTGCCTGATAGCATTCCTTCCTCATTCATTACAATACCATATACATGTTTTGTGTGTACATATTTACACACACCGGGGATGTGGTGGCGCTGCGGGCTAAACCGCAGAAGCCTATGCTGCAGGGTCAGAAGACCAGCAGTCATAAGCTCGAATCCACGCGACGGAGTGAGGTCCCGTCGCTTGTCCCAGCTCCGGCCAACCTAGCGGTTTGAAAGCATGCAAATGCAAATAGATCAATAGGGACCACCTCGGTGGGAAGGTAACAGTGTTCCGTGTCTAAGTCGCACTGGCCATGTGACCACAGAGGATTGTCTTCGGGCAAAATGCTGGCTCTATGGCTTGGAAACGGGGATGAACACCTCCCCTCCGTCACGTGGATTCAATTTTACCACTGCTGGTCTTCTGATACACACACACACAGAGACACACACAGACACACACAGACACACAGACACACACACACACACACACACACACACACACACACTTCCTACCAGTGAGTGAATTATGCATTCATTTCCATCCCCCCCCCGCCATTCTGTCTTAGGCAAATATGTTTATGATGACTAAGAAACATCACTTAAAAATAATCTAACAAAACACCATTGAAATCATCACCATAATCAGTTCCCACTCTTAAGTGTTTCAATGGCCAGATTGAAAAAGGTCTCACGCATGCTGATGGAGCAAAGGAGTAGCATGGCAGAATGGGTATAGGGTCCGACTATCATGACATGGCCTTCCTAAAAGCAGCCAAAGTGGAAACGGATCACAGTCCCAGGAGCAAAACAAGAAAAAGACATGTCCTGCATGCCCATCAGGTGGGCTTCTGCCTGAGGTGGCCTTCTCAAGATGACCACTTTTGAGGACCATCATATTTAGACACACTCATACTCCAGCAGTGCCTTTTAGCTTTGAGTTTGGGTTTCTTTATTTTCTGTCACTTGCTTTTAACACCCCAATTTCTATATTGGTATGATATTTTCCCCTTCTCTTTCCTCTAGCCAGATTCCTTATTTGGTGCCTGTTATTCATTTTCCTTCAGCCTGGTCCCTTCCCCTTCCCTACAGCTGTAGAAGTGCATTTGACTTTATTGTAAATAGGTCTTCGGGGCCCCGGAGATCAATTATCTCTTCGCTGCGCTTTAAGTCTCTGTCTCCACCAGTGAGCACAGCCAGCTGTGCTGGACCTGTAGTGAAGCCAATCACTCACAATTACCCACCACACAGTTCCAGCCCAGTGAGTCATTGGGGAGAAATCATTGGAAAGAAATGAGCCTTTCAGGGAGAGTTAACATGCTTCCTTGGACAAGCTAAGTCTGGTCCTCTGCTCATTTTTCCTCATTTTCACCAACTCTATTTGGGACTGTAATTCATAGCCTATAAGTCAGCTCAGTTCTCTTGGAAGTAGAAAGAAAATATTACTGAAAGGAAAGTCATGCATTCCATTGGCTAGGCCAAAGATAAAAGAGCAAGCTTCCCATTGAATAGATGTGGTTTTTCCCCCCCTATGAAATTGATGTAACTGGATAGAGACAGTTCAGAAGAACATGAGAAATATTGGAGGCTACATTACACAGATACAGTGGTTGGATAAGCACTTTAATTGGCTCCATCCTATAGAATTCTGGAATTTGTAGTTTAGTGGGGTACTTGGAATTCTGTGCTGTAGTTCAGTGTTATGGACTAACCAGTGTTTCTCAAGCTTGGGCATTGCAGCTTGGACTGCAATGCCAGAAGCCTTCATCACCAGCTGCGCTAGCCAGGGTTTCTGAAAGTTGCAGTTCAAGAACACCTGGGTTACCCAAGGTTAGGAATCACTGAACTAGACCTTCCTGGCAAACTACAGATCCCAAGATCTGATGGAATTAGGCCCTCAAAAATGGTATTAAATAACATAGTTTTATATTGTGCTTCTGGGTGAATACATGGATGCAAAGCCATGTGGGTTTCCCCACCATACAGATTTGTCTTGAGGAAACTGAAATACATAGGCTTTCTTCTACCAAAAAATTATTACAGATGAAGGAAAACTTTTTGGAACTTTGAGCCCCAGAACCTATGTGTTCTGTCAATGTTTGAGTGAGATTTACAAATGAGATGTTTTCTTCTGGGCCATCGTTATTAAACTGTTGTTCCAAAGTATATGGGATTGTCTGTCTTTCTCTCTGTATGTTGAAAGGATTAAAAAAAAATATCCAAATCCTTTCCCCTTTTCTTTACAATAAGCTCTAGCAGTAGTTGGGCTTTTCACATTTTCCAGTAAGAAGTTAACTTAGCCATAAATCTTTCTGAGCCTCACTTCTCTGCTTTAATGTTCCTAGTCTTTTTAAAAAATATGTTTAAATTTATAGAGTATCCACCTGATTCATTATTATGTGCTTTAAGAACAAAATGCAAAGTATAAATCAGATCTGACAGTACAGCAGGATGATTTGGCCACAAGATATTTTAAACCAATTGAACTTGCGAACATCATCTTCAAAGTAGAGATGGGCATGAATTCAGTCATGTTGTGTTGTACAATGGTGTCTGTGAGGCACCACAGATGCCACGCGGACCCTCCCCTCCCCCTGAGGGCCGGCTGGCCCACTCACCATCCATTCTTCTCTGGCAGCGCTCCATTTTGGTCAGGAGCTCCCTCTGCCCTTCCCTGCCCTTCCCTGCCTCCTCCAGCAGCTGACTCCATTTTGGTCAGGAGCTCCCTCTGCTCTTCCCTGCCTCCTCCAGCAGCTGACCACTCTGACAAAGAAGTGGGACAAGATTCTCCCTATGCAGCCAATGAGTTGTTGCCTGTAGTGCCATGCTGACAGCTTCATACAACATGGCACAACTCAACTTGTGCCCATTTCTACTTCAAAGTAAATGAAATGCAGGAGTAGGTTCCTACAACCTCCCTAGACAGCTGTTTTACTCTCCTCTCACCACTCTCAACTAGGCACGCTGATGCTGCACTCTGTGCAATGAAATCCTAATTCACTGGGGGGGGGTACAAGCTCTCTGATAGTAAGTACCCCCACCCCAGCCATCCTTCGAAGCATCATAGCACTTTAAAGCAGCCCCGTTGTTTTGACATATGGGGCAGAAAATCCCCCTTACACATTCCACTTAGAACACTAAGATAATGATAAAATGACTATCAGTTCTTTGGTGTCTCAAATCTGCTGCTGGTCTCTGGACAGTTGTTATATGGATGTAGAAAACATTTCTTACGGTCCAAGAAAACATATCAGTGCAATTGCATGTTTCAGGGACGAGGACTCGACCTTCAGGACTTGCAATGAAGTTGGACTTAAGTCACAGTGGTGACTTGACTCAGACTCGACTCGTATCCCCCTCCGCATGACTTAGACTCAACTTGAAACCCACCCACCTCTCCCTAGATTAGGCCCACTGAATCCATGGAACATGTGGAGGAAATGATACATCAAATTCCCACTGATTCAGTGGGCATACTCTATTTGAGACTCCTTATTGGATTTCAGCCCTTGTGTAACAGTACAGCCCTTCAATTAGCTTATTTATTTATTTAAATTACTGCAAGTGGAGTTTCCTTAAGAGAGGACTACTGGATTTTTCCCTACTAATATCACATTGTCTCCGTCCACATTTTGCAAATTAGCCTGCTTTTTGTTTTCTTGTTGATCAGCTGAGAGATAATAACAGCTCCATTTGCATCTCTGATGTTTTAGGCATGGAATTTGTAAAGATTTGAATGTTTGGAGAGATAATACTGCAAGAGAAAGAAACACACAATTGCCTTCATGAGTAATTTGACCCTTAATTACACATAGATCTGAGCTCACTGCAGATTTTACTCACTGGCACTTTGACCCTACCCGCTTAGCTTCTCTCTCCACCCAGTTTTGGTTCTTACTCCACCCATTGCTACACAATGGAGCTTGACAGGTATTGACTGAGGCAACCTATGCAACAAGAGAAAAAAGCTCAGTCTCCCAATGAAAACTAGCAAATGTAAGCATTTAGATTATCTCAAGAATGAGCTTTTTATCTGCAAAGTAGACTAGGAGAAGTTTGTGGATCAAGCAAGTAGGCATTTCAGAAGTACAGTAGAACCCCCATACCTGTGGGTTCAGTATCTATGGTTTCACTTATCCGTGGTCTGAACATATTAAAAGAAAAAAGAAAAAACCCTAGAAATACATATTTTCATCGTGCATTTACCAGAACTGGCCAAAAGATGGAGCAAGATACCACTCTATGTATTATTTTTGTTAAAAATATAAAGCATGGTCTATGGCTCTTTCTAAAGGCCATTTCTGGTAATGCATGGTGAAAATTAGTATTTCAGGATTTTTTTCTTCTTCTACCATGCTATGTATAGTGTTCATTATTGCCCATGGCTTTCAGTATCCGTGGGATGACTTGTAACCAATCCCCTGCAGACATGGGGTGGGGGGCTACTGTATATGTTCTCTGTAACTTTGCTATCTTCACAGAACACTTTCATTCAATGTCAGTGTGATTTGCATAAACAACGTGCTCTTGGGAGCAATTAAAGGCATAGATGCACACAGATTAAGTGGTCTATCATAAACTGTGATATTGGAGGAGATGTTTGCAGGTACCATGGATCATTAGGAGGACAAGTAAGTGGTTCTAGATCAAATCAAGCCTGAACTCTCACTGGAAGCTAACATGGCTGGTATTTTTCCATTTCAGATGATCCCTCTTGTGTGGACTTCTTCACTTGGTGCCACTTGGTCCCCCAACATGGTGTCTGCAATCACAAATTTTATGGCAAGCAATGCTGCAAATCCTGCACACAGAAAAACTGATAGAAGTGGTTTCAGTGTGATACTTCCATGGCGTGAGTCACTCTTTCAGGAGATGACAAATGTTCCGATAGGGCCTACTTAAACCAAGCATCACAGAAATTGCTGATTTAACAGACTAGGATATCATAGGTCAATATTTTGTGATGGTACAGATTTAAGTGACCAATGAGTGTAGAAGGACTGGATGACTACCAGACCACACAGGGTATTTTTGAACACTAGAAGATGTAATAATGTTCTGCCTTTCTTCAGTTTGTCTTCTCCAGTGTCTTCTGTTGAAGGTGGGGTGAAAAAAAAATCCCTGCTTACACCCCATGGCCAAAGTCAGCCTCCAAAACGGAGTTACATATTTTTCATGGTGCTTCTACTTTACTCAAGAGCTTACACAGAGCCTGAGATCAAGCAGAATGAAAGCGCTATAGAAGAGACACATTGGTTATTATGTGGCTACTATGACCATGCATTGCCATGCATAACATAGACATGATGCTATCAACAGCAAGGACATGAGCTGCACTAGCAAGATAAACCAGAGGTGAAGAATCTTTGGCCCACCAGAGGTCTTGAAGTACGAACACATGCAGCAATCCTTTACCATTGGTTATGGTAGCAAGGCCTTCTAGGAACTGAAACCAAGAACTCTGGAGGCCCTGAAGTTCCTCATTCAGGATATAAAAGGTGCTTTTCTATTCCACTTGCTGCTGGGAAAGCAAGGGTTACATCTTGTAGGACATATAACTTTATTTTCTTCCCCTTTCCGCTTTGAATAGTAACTGAGGCATACTTTACTAACCACTTGAGGCAGGCACTCCTTGAGTTGATCATCCAGTAGAACACCACAGAGATTTTATTTATAGTTTTTTTTTCCTGTGTAGGATAAGTGAACTAGAATGTCATACTTAAGTTAACTCATGAAACTCACACAATTGCTGTTATGCCTCGTTGTCGTTAGTGCTGAAACCAATTACTTGTCAGAATTTTAAAAATTTCATGAACATCTTGCATATGCTACCATTGAGCGTGGTTTTGAAAAACAGTGCCTCTTGGACTAATGGGGTGTCGTTTGTTGGAAATAAAGACGTGGGGGGTTTTTTCTTCATAAACAAAACCTGAGGCTTCAAACGTAAAATATATGTGGGAAAACCCAATTATTGCTAAAAAAATGGAAAACCCATTTGACCTGTTTTGGTGTGGAAGTTGCAAGGGGCAACATCAAGATATAAAAGAAAGAGAAATATGTGGTTCAGTTGTGATTGTTGCTTTAGTACAGTGGGTCCCTACCTTAGGTCCCCAGATGTTTTTGGAATAAAAGTCCTAGAAGTCTTCACCACTAACTGTGCTGATCAAGCTTTCTGGGAGTTGTAGTCTAGGAGGTCTTCACCACTAACTGCTGATCAAGCTTTCTGGGAGTTGTAGTCCAAAAACATCTGAGGACTCAAGGTTGGGAACCACTGCACTAGCATAACTGTCATCTTGATCCAAGCCATCGTTGCATAAACAGAAAGGATATTTGCTAATGCAAATTCAGTCAGTGGTTTTCCTCCCCCAATTCTTCCAACTTTTCTCCATTGAAAATGCTATTCTGGAGGGTCTGTCTGATGGGGAAAAAAGCAATCACTCATTCTCTCATTTGATGTTTGTTTTTGTCAAGCCCTGCATGCTTTATATGAAGCAGGCACTTATGAAGACATTTGCAAATTTTAGTGAATGAACAAAATCCTTACTTGCATTAGCCAAATTTAATTGGTGCTACTGTTTGCAACATAGAGAGGGCCATATTATTCCTACCTACCATAAGATGTTAAAGACAAGCAAGTCCTTTTCTTTATTCAAGAAAAAGAGGTGACTACTGTAATTAATATCACAAATATAAGTGAATACCAGCAGTTCCAAATCTAGATTTTAAGAAACTGAGTACTCAACTACATGGATACACTCATTTGCTTCAACTTCTCCTAGAAGCTTGAAAGTTCTTTAAAGAAGAATTAACTCCATAGTGTAGCTTTCCACAACTGAGGAATGGTGGTTATATGGTCTGTGACCCTGAGCATCATGTTAATTTTCATGCTGTTCTTAAACAATATCATTTGCTTTTCCATCCAACAAATGAAGAAATTTGCAAATTCTGAAAAATGTTAGTAAAATCAAGCTGATTTTTTTTTGTAAACATCCACAGCAGCCTCATAAGTGTCTTTTGCTCAAACACAGCAATCTTTGAAGCTTGTGGTCAGTATGACTGTGTCACCAGCCAGCAAAATGCCAACACCGACTGGCACTACGGGTCACCAATTATTGTCACTACTACAGCGAATATTGTGGGATAGTAGCTGCATGGCACAGTGACAAAGGGACTCCTATGTCTGTTATGACATCCAAGAAAGATCTTTACTCACTTGGAGGTTGCTATGTTAGAGCAATCTGGGGTACCTGAAGTGACATATTGCAACAAAAGGGCAATTGACTGACAGCAAATAAAACAGTCTTTGCATGAGTTTGTATAAGATGCCTTTACAGATCTGTTTGGTTTGTCATTTCTAAAACAATGGCATAGGAATATGAAGGAAAGACCAGCCATGAGAGAGGATGCTTAATTAGATCTCAAAGTGTTGGAGAGACACGATTCAGGCAGTTTTTGTTTTGTTTTAAGGAACATAGACATTTCAAAGAACTCTTATGATTGCAGACCAGCCATAAAACAAAGCAACCCTGGGGATAGTGAGTGAACTCCTGCTGTGACACTCACACATAAGTCTTCTTCTAATTAAACACCAGCATCTACCTTAAATCTATGTACTTTCTATGTTTTGACTCAACCTTGTCTAGTATCGGCTCTTCCATGCTTCTGAAGGGTGCCTTTCTCCAGCCCTACCTGAATATGCCAGGATCTGATCTTCTGCATGCAAAGCATACATTCGGTCTCTGAACACAGTAACACACAGCTGTGTTTGTTTTTATGTCACATTCAGTCATTTTTGCTGCATTGCAAAGAGATGGGCATGCACTGTCAGTTTGGCAGTGGTGGCCATCCATTGAACCGGCAATTTGTGCCTGTATCCAGCTGTGAACATAGGATAGGCTTACTTTTGTCAAAGGGTGTAACTTGCAGCATCAGATTGCCCCCAGTTGAGAAGTCAACACTTGAGTTCCTTGTTGCTTAATAAGTCGTGTGAGTGGTGCCCAATGAGGAATACAAACACCAACTTTTTAACTAACCACAATTGACCACTCAGATTTACACCATTTGATTTACAGTGGTGCAAATATGTAACAGAATTCGGGCAGATCTATTTTGCAAACTATAGCTTCAAGCTAGAGGGTGAGGATTTAAACAAATTAAATTCTTTCCTGCCAAAACACGTCTCACCAAATTGAGCGTTTGTCCTGTTGCAATTTTCTGAGAAACAGTTCAAAAGATACAAGGACTTTCTTTCCTTGTATCTTTCTACACAAACCCTCGGCTTCATTTGGTTAATGAACTTCCCTTTCACTACTTTGTAATGTATTATTACCGGATGAAAATAAGCCATATTAACACTAATGGTAGAACTTGGTCAGCTAAAATTAGCAGTTGCTTTGGTACCAATTAAAACACAAGCACACTCATCATTTAATTACTCAAGAACTGATTCCCAGAACCACATCTCACTTCTAAATACCTTCTTGAACTAAAAATTTCTGGGGGACCATCGCCTCCTTGTCATAAATTCCAAGTTTTGTTTTAGAATTGTGTGGGTTTTATTATTTGATGTAAAAAAATAATTAATTTATTAATGTGTAGCTTTCCCTGACCCTTTAAAAAATGTCATCACTTGCTTCTCAAGCAAGCGGCAGCAATACAAAGGATTGTTACATAAAAGTATGGTTTAGGGTGTAAAAGTAAAAAAAAAAAGCAAAGTATAAAGTGTACTATTTAATTATTTTATAAGTTTTTAAATAAGAAATACTCTGTTTCATTATGTTTGGTACCTGTACAAGTCTTGAATAAACTATGGAAGCTCTGATATCATCTGTGTCCATGTTTTGTGTCTTTTGTGCTGAAAACATATCCGTTAATGGCCAGAAGCCAACTGAATAATTATACACATTTCTGACTTACATTTCCTCGACTTGATTCCATGATTGAATGAGCATCATAACGGGCAAAAGTTCAACCTGCCAAACTATCCACACAATTACACCTTCATATGGTGCATATGGTTGAAATGTATGGCAGAGCAAATCAACATTCTATAATGCAATTAAAAAAAATTGTTTTGTGTTTGGATGAGAAGCAGTTAACTGTTCAAAAAAAGGAGTCACGTCCTGGGATTTCCCCCCGCTTGATGTTACTTTGTGAATTGTAGTGAGCACCACCCCCAGCTGACTCTCCTACTCACTAGCCAGTGCATGCTGCTCTCCTCTTTGGGTGTTTGACCTGTCCCAGCAGAAGTGTGTGCTTCTCTCCGCTGCCTCCTCCAGCAACCACCCACTCAGACAAGGAGGCAGAGAAGGGATTCCTGCAGTCCCGTCTTTGAGTGAGCTGCTGCCAGGGGAGGCAGAAGAAGGAAGCACACACTCCTGCTGGGACTGGTTGAATGCTTTAAGAGAAGAAGAGCAGCGCATGCCAGCTGATGAGTGGGGGAGCTGGTTGGAGTGAGTGGGGGAAGAGAACACACAGCACATCTGGTGCTGGTCCAACAAACCAAGGTTTGTGCCCTTCTCTACATACCTCTGCTAAAGATGTCAAATTTCTGGGCAGGCTCAAAAGCTGGTAATTTGTGGATCTACTCTAAGAGCACATGATGTTTAGCAGCAGCATGAAACCCTGCATGCAAAGTTGGTCTGCACAACAGATTAAAGTTGTGTTTTATGCCAGTCATGTCCAGTCGCTGAAAGTCAACCACATTTACCATTCCTTTCTTTTCTGCATCCACTTTCCAAGTTTCATTTTTGTTTGTACTTTTTTTCCCAACCCAAGAATATTTGCCACACACTGGGAAGACCTTCCCTTCCTTATTTAGCTTCCAGCTGAGCCGAGGCAGGCACAGAAAGGCTTACAATCAAAAGGTTATAATTTGGTGGGAAGAACATGGCAAATGTGGGTTTAACCAATTTAAGCATCACTAATTAGGGTGGCTTATCTCTCAGCCTCCCTCTGAATGCTCCATCTCCTTGTACATACTTGGATTCTCATTAAAGAGTGCAAATAAGATGTTCAGCTTTCCCAAGATCTCCTTTAAGGTAAAGAAGCAAAAGAAGAAGAAGAAGAAGAAGAAGAAGAAGAAGAAGAAGAAGAAGAAGAAGAAGAAATTGACATGTGGTTGATATTAGAACCAGGCTAGTTGTGACACTGAACTGCACAAATGCAACTGGTCTGCCGGTATGTTTCGTAAGGAACTAAGAATCTTCTTGAGGGATCCTGAGCAGCTCTGAGATTGTGCCAAGGATTTTAACTATTCCTCTTTTCGCCCTGATTCCAATAAAAATCCCATCTCTTAAGGTCGCTCCAATATATCCAGTTCTGGCTTCCTCTTTTTTTAAAGGCAAAGATGGGAAAACTCATTTTCCCCCTTCTTTTGAATTACAACTCCTAAAATACCCAGCTGTCATGCTAGCTGGAGGTTTCTGGGTTTTGCATTCCCGAAAAGTAATTTCTCTATCTCTGTTTTAAACTGTGTGCATGCCTTTAGTTCCCGCACCTGGGTGTGGTGTTGTCCCATGAAGGAAAATTGGAGGGTTGCCACATCCCTGTCCCTTAAGGCTGCTCTTTTCTCCCAGTAGAACTTAATTTCCTCCCATTTGCTTGGAGAATAGAAGCCAGCCTATCGTATCGTGCTATGCAGTCAGAATTAGGCTTCATATTACTTCGGAGGCTACTTACCTGTCCTCCTCCCCCCATTTATGCATTTAAATTGACATATTTCTGCCAAAACGGAAAGGGAAGAGAACCAATAGAAACTTTGCAGGGTTGGCTGTATTAAAATTGAGTTTGCAGAAGGCAGGGAGTGGAAATACCTTTCACAGAGGCAGCCTCTTTCCAATTCAATAAGCGATGGCTTGGGATTGCATGGACAGCGTGAAAGCAAATGGTCCCCATATCAGACTAGAGTTTTCCACGTGTAAAGAGC